AAAAATTACTTAAACGACCATGGTAAATAGCATCTCTTTAAATAAGAATTCAATCGAAATTTGCAAATACCTTATTCATTACAGAATAATTTTGTACCGGACAATTAATGTATGTCAATGAATATCTTAATTTTTCCAGCCATTCACGACTTTTCAAACTGTACGCAATTTAGTAAAGGCGAGGTAAAGATAACATCGCAGTGTCTTATTAATTACTAACGAAACGAATAAAAAGATCAATTTTTCAATTAAAGATGATTAATTACAAATTAGACGCATACAGCACTTTTTACATGACTATTATATATCTTATTGTAGTTTATCAAACTGATTTACTTAGGTTACTTCATCATTCGAGATTTTATGTTCTGTATCAAACACGTTTTAAATGAAAGTTTTGATTAGGGAATACCCTATTTTCGAATATCCGATGATTTAAGAGTCGAATGTTTTTTTTCGAATCGAATCCGGAATACTTCGGAGATATTCAATTGTATATAACTATTTATTGCGATGGGCACGAAAATGACTGAAAACATCGAATTCATCAGTCAGACAGTTTATTGAAAGTTCACACACAATAAGAAACATATTTCACCAATAACTCATTAGAACGAAATAGTCTTATGTCACAATAACATTTTAAAAATATGGTTTCAATGAAAAAAACATTTTGAGGAATTGTTGAGTATTGAGAATTCACACACACTAAGAAATATGTATCATGAATCACTCGCTAGAAATAAAAGTGTCATATGTCAGAATTGCATATTAAAAATATGACTTCAATGGAAAAAAAAATGAGGAATTTACTTACGACGTTTGGCGGGCTATTAAAAAAACGATTCGAAATTTTCGTCTGAACCGATTCAAAGAAAATTACTATTCGATCCGATGTGAATATTCGATTCGAAATGCCCAGCCCTAGTTTTAATCAATCTCAGTGATTTACTACAGTTGTGTGCCTATCGTTACATGAGTAATCTTTGACACGGCATAAATATGAAAATCCTACCATTTCTTAATCATGCATGTATAGCAAATATTATAATGCTGCTCTAATATCATGATATTCTGCACAATTTGTTACAGGTTCAGAATTTAAGGTGCCTTACAGAATTGCAAACATTGTTGGGAAAATGAACGATATTCCCATTTTGATTGTATCCAGTTCTGTTTTCAACTAACTGACTGTGTAAAAATACAAACCCTACCAGAGAATCTACAAAAATCCCTAAGAAATTTCGATTTTTTGTTTTAAAAATTCGCTTCAGTTGATGTTTATAATTTTAGTAATGTCCTGGTTCGCTATTGAACTATTTGGAATTTCGTTTGAATTTGCCTCAAGACGATTACAATTCAGATTGACTAAATTTTTCATATGATGTAATGAGATTATTCTTTCAAAGATTGAGTTGACCGTGATCTAGCAAAAACATCAGTATATTGATACCAAAATATGATTACGAACGACTTAATTTATTTAACTTTCATTTTCACATCTATTTATATACATTGTGTCGCAGATTTAGATAAATACGGAAATACACTGTTCAACAAATATGTCATATTAACTCTCGTTTACCGGACATTCAATTTTGTCTCGATAAACGCACAATTTGATTTTTACTCCTATGACCCCAATCAGTCAATGTCTTAAAAGTTCTTTTCCACAAAAGTCAAAGAGGTCCAAATTCAAAAGGTCCTTAATTAATGAATCATTAACATTTAAATACCGTAACTTTCGCTCATAATGAGCGCAAAAATTAAAGGTCCATCATTTACTTCACGACATTTTAATCTTCCCGTCATCACAACTCGGCGCATTCTTTTGCTTGGTCATTTTCATATTACGTAAATTTAGCGGGCAACGCCCGAAGAAAGCATTTTATATGACCGTGTACAAAAATATCGTCACATAGATTTCTCGTTTCCCGTTAATATGACGACATCGATGAATAATTAGCTTTTTGACGCTATATTCATAGTATCAAACTTGACTGCAATCACGGTTATTGATTGAAAATGATTTATTTTGTATCAATATTTCCAATTCTGTACAGAGTTTGTGCAGAAAATTAATGTTTTGTGCAATAATTTCATTTTTTTTGTACAGTTATACAGTGTACATGTTCACCGATCCTCGTGATATAAAAATTCAAACCAAGCAAACTTACGATTTTTTTAATAAAATCCATTTTTCGCTCATACATCAGTATTTTTGTAGGATATCTGGGTCCTTAATAATCAGCCAATAATGTCACAAGCTTGATAATACAAATACAAAAATAACTTAAATACTAAAAAACAGTTCAAGTATTGGTGTCGACGATTAGATTCCGAGTTCAAACTCCACGACCAATCTAGGGGTTTAATAAATTTAGATGACAAAAAAGCTCAACCGAAAAAAAAAGTGTTATTACAAAACACAGTAGCTCGATGCTTGCTAGGGCCGCTTGCTCGGAGCGTTGTTTAGAGCGAAGATGAAAAGTAAATCTCAAACCAATAATTGTAATGTTGAAATAACGAGAAACAGCAAAATATTTGAGATAAAATTGGCAACTATGATCCAAGCTAACTTCAAGCCGTGTTTGTGCATAACTGGCTTAAATTTGTTTTTCTTTATAATAAAACTCGGTGTCTGTTTCATTTTTGTACAGTATGTTATTTTCATAGACGAGAAAAAAGCGCGTCGAAACCAAGGAAACATAATTACGCAAACATTCCTCGGCTATACTTATTTTCACACAACGGCAAGTTTAGCAAGCTACTATCGCAAATGGAAATTTCTTGGTGGTTATGCGAATATATCGCCCTTAGCAAGTCTAGTTGTGTTTATGCCAATTATTATGCCAGCGTATTATGTAAATCAATTATGCGGCATTAGATTGGGCAATCAAAACCGGATAATAACGGTATTTCGTTTGTAAATTTGAAAACGAAGAGCGTAGTATTATTTTTACGGAGTTTAGAATGTTCCAGTTTAACCGAGCCTACCATAAGGTTCAAAAGGTAGAAATACAATGGCTGGCATCAACGCAAATAAAAAAAAAAAAAACACTAACGCAAGGGAGTATGGAAAATTTATATTTTTAAGTCTATAGGCGATATGGTATATATGTGTTTTATCTATTTGTTATTCCAGTTCAAAAATAAGAGCTAATGTAAAAGATGAGTATTATTGTGACTTTTGGCTCCGGGACCCACAATAAAAATAATCTAGAGTATTCATCCCAACTACCGGGGATCTATATCTATGTGACATATGAATGATGAAAATAAATCGAACTTGAGTTGGCGATAGGCTACTTACAAGAGTGTTGTTGGTTTGTATATATGTCGTACAACTGAACGCGTTTCGGGATAACTTTTACATCTTAATCATTGAACATTTTTTCTACTTTTTCGCAGAATGGATTTTATCACATATATCAGGAAAAAATATTTTATCATGACGTGAGCACATTCCATGGATTTTCGTTACTCGTCGCTCGAGGTGATGGTATTCAGAGCTTTACATGCTTTTTAAATGATGTTGTTGTTTGAAGATTTATGCAAAAATCCTCTCATAATCATTAACAATAAAAGCCTGACTTTCAACCTAAATTGACGCATTCGGTCACAGTATTTATATCGACATTTCAGTGAGGTTAGTTAGTCATATGCACGGTACATAATTTTGTCAGGAATCTCCAGTTCACCTGGTTCCCCTTGAACAGTTTCCAACCTTGATAAATTGTTGAAGCATAGTAAATTTTCGTTTCTACTGCGTAGTCGTACTGCGTAGTTATTTTTACGGAGTTTAGTATGTTCCAGTTTAACCGAGCCTACCATAAGGTTCAAAAGGTAGAAATACAATGGCTGGCATCAACGCGAATATAAAATAAAAAAAAAAACACTAACGCAAGGGAGTATGGAAAATTTATATTTTTAAGTCTATAGGCGATATGGTATATATGTGTTTTATCTATTTGGTATTCCAGTTCAAAAATAAGAGCTAATGTAAGAGATGCGTATTATTGTGACTTTTGGCTCCGGGACCCACAATAAAAATAATCTTGAGTATTCATCCCAACTACCGGGGATCTATATCTATGTGACATATGAATGATGAAAATAAATCGAATTGGTGTTGGCGATAGGCTACTTACAAGAGTGTTGTTGGTTTGTATATATGCCGTACAACTGAACGTGTTTCAGAATAACTTTTACACCTTAATCATTGAACATTTTTTCTACGTTTTCGCAGAATGGATTTTATCACATATATCAGGAAAAATATTTTATCATAACGTGAGCGCATTCCATGGATTTCGTTACTCGTCGCCCGAGGTGATGGTATTCAGAGTTTTACTTGCTTTTTAAATGATGTTGTTGTTTGAAGATTTATGCAAAAATCCTCTCATAATCATTAACAATAAAAGCCTGACTTTCAACCTAAATTGACGCATTCGGTCACAGTATTTATATCTACATTTCAGTGAGGTTAGTTAGTCATATGCGCGGAACATAATTTTGTCAGGAATCTCCAGTTCACCTGGTTCCCCTTGAACAGTTTCCAACCTTGATAACTTGTTGAAGCATAGCAAACTTTCGTTTCTACTGCGTAGTCGTATTTGTCATTGAGGATGCGAACTGTTGTGACTACCGTAGCCTGTCATTCTACTATAGAATGTTGTATATATTAAAAATACAATGCCATTGATAGCTATATCAATTTCTCTTATCTAGTTTATAAAAAATGAAAATAATGTATTGAAAGAATGTAAATTAGAATAATTAAAAAATATACTATTTTAGTTGAAAAGTTTCAGTTACGAGCGTTGTCTATTATACCGTAAAGACGTTGTTGCGATGCTTATTATTATTGTCATTTACCCATTCTGAGTAGCAATATTGTTTAATATGCTGAAATACGTGGAATAGCCTAGCCATCTGATTCAACAATGCAGATTACTGAACCGTATTACCATTACTTAAATGCAGAATTTAGTCTTAAATATAAGAAAATATGACACAAAAGCGGACATTTGTAGCAGCGGATTATGCTGTGTTCGCTGTAATGCTCGTAATCTCGGCTGCAATTGGTATATATTATGCAATACGAGACCGTAAAAGCAAGCAAGGAACAATCGGATATCTTCTTGCAGGAAGGTTAGAGCATATTAATGATGTTTTTACCTTTTCATATTAATTTAATATAAATTATGTAATCAAAACTACACAATTCAGGTTAATGCAATTTTCAAATTCCAGCACTTTTAATCTAACAAAATCTAAAAATTTGTTAAAAGCAATCAAAAGGTTATGTAGATTACTTGCATTAATGCGTGGATGAGTGAAGCGTAATACTATGTAGTATATAGTATCGCTATGAGTGTTTTAGTTACCCTCAATGTTGGGTGATAACATAAATGAATTTGAACTCTCAAGACCTTCTCGACCCGACATTCCTCGCAAATCTTTTGGCAGTCGGCTGCATTGTTCAGTTCATTTTCTCGAAACCTAAATATTTTAAAGTGATTTACCCGTTAGAAGCAAAATATCGAGACTTGGGGTTGTCTTTTATCTCTAGCCAAGATTACATGCACAATACTCTCTCCAAAGTAGGATAATTATAATACAATATTTACTTATCGGTCTTGTTACATATTGATCTTAAATCAGTAAGTAAGTTGATAGGTATTTGTCTGTTTGTTTGTCTGTTAGACACTTTCGTATGTTACGAGATATCTCACGAAAGCGAGTTTGAATCTGCTTTTGCATGTGCATTCATCATATCTCGGAAAAAAGCCTATTGATTTTGGGTGAATTATGTCGTATAATTAGGGAGTTAATTAATTAGTGACGAGACACGCGGTGTCGCTATTGAGTCAAAGCGAAGGATACACGCCGCTAGATCGATACGTCGGCGGCCTCTGATCGCTATCTCGTTACAATATTAACGAGTACTGAGATATCTATAGATATGGCATTACTATGTAGGCGATATCTGAAACTAGAGAGTTCAATGACTCAAATCAAAATCAGTGCAAAATATATATTTCTATTTTTCCCAGATTAAGTCTATTCATATCCTAATTTTCAGATTAGTAGAATTATTATTTGTCCCAAAATAGATTCGAATAGTCCAATCTATATTTTCATTCAAATTTTACTCTTTATTTCAGGAGTATGCCGTTACTTCCAGTTGCCATATCGTTAGCACTGAGTTTCCAATCGTCACTGACAATGCTCGCTATACCTGCTGAAGTTTATATGTTTGGGACGATGATTCTGTGGTAATTATAAATAACTGTATAATAATATACATTGCACAAATACTGAACTCAATGCTATTCTAGTGTATTAATCATATTTGTCAACAGGGTGCCCCAAAAACACCTATACCTATTTCTTAATTATTATGGAATTAACTACTTTTTAATCACCATACGAAATTCATTTAACACACGAACTCTCTTTAGAGTATGATTGTACCCAAATGTTTCTGCAGTTTTGGATTCTTTGCACAAAAATTATGTTTCCTCCAGAATATGGTCCAAATTACTCGGTCTTTTTTTGGTTACCTTGTACTTGGCATCAGCATTTAATCTGATAGTTTTATCCGTGAGTTCAATTACATTTTGTTATTGTGGGTACTCAGAAATTGCAGAAAATCTTGTCACCTTTTTCGGAATTCAAGTAATGGATGAAAATAATATTATATATACATATATATCAAATACTAAGTTGCAAGCACGTGCAGTGGGCTATCATGAATCATACATAGTATTCCATAACCCCATTTATTGGGTAAAATTCATGTAAATACATTTCTACATGGATACAATTTTAAAAACGTAATTTCGTAGCATAAATCGTTTCATTATTAAATCTCCCTACAAGTTGGAGACCAATAATTCAAGCATACATACCACTGAGTGTAGAATTTTTGAATGAATAAATATCGATTTTCATATACCAACAGTCGTATATAACAAAGATCTCACACGTTTTTTTTACAATTTTTTGTTTTCAATCTGCTCGTGTTGGTTCTTAAATTAAACATTTACTCCTGCGTACACACGTAATGTAAATATGGCTGTAGACCTTGTATATGTATCACCGCTGTAAATCCCTGACTTCTGTGCTATGAATTTCATTGATTCAGTTTACCTATTTTTTTCTTTAAAGGGTTGATCTCATATACGTGTTTATTGCAATCATAGCAGCAGAAATATTTCTTCCAACCTTTTACAGACTTGGGATATCCAGTACTTATGAGGTTAGTAGTTATGAATTGCTGTTGCCGTCAATTCCAATCAATCGACTGACCATTTCATTTCGTAGGGTTCATTTAAGGGTTTTTTGTCCTCACAAATTGGAAGCTTCAATATACTTATGCATTGACATTTTCAAACAATTTAATTTCAGTACCTTGAGTTGCGTTTCAACAAAGCTGCGAGAATATTTGGTACTTTAGCGTTCATTGTTGCTACTATCTTCTACATGGGAATAGTGATGTATGGACCAGCACTGGCGTTTGGGGCAGGTAGAGTATAATGATTTCAAATGAAAGTTGGTGTATTGTTGAAGTTATAACACAGAATAAATTTAACTCACTCGATATAAGCACATTACCTGCCTTCAGCGATTTATTCACAAAAATCAAATGACAAATACTTTTCTCATCGGATTTAACTTACATGCTGTTAAAATATATCTTTATAATGTAAGAGATCATATTATTGTAGTGTAGACCAGGGCTTCCCAAACTTTTGAGCTCGCGTCCCCTTTTAATATATTAAAATTTTTCGCGGCCCTTGTTCACGTTAATAATGCTAAACAGTACTGTAATATGCATTTTTAATATTTTATCGACACAGCTAATTCTCAACTTTTAGTAGGCCTACTCAATAAAAAAAACAAGCGCATATTTACTCAGATTAACATTACTCAATTATTCAGTGTAATGGGTGCGAATGCTTTTTGCTGCATAGCAAGTCCAGCCGTGGCTCAATGTTCGTTTATGCAGATGTAATGATGAATTACAATGTCTGGCCACAGGCCACCGACGGCATGGTTCTTATCCGGAATAGTTACGCACTCCTATTGATCAAATTTAGCATAAGGCAGCGGTTTGTGCGACGTCAAATTATCAGGGACAAAATTCGCGGCGCACCTACACGAAAAATACGCTGCCTCGAAATAAAACACAATTTTGTCATCGTTAATGTGTACTTTATGCCTTTTGAGGTTTATAAACATGTAGGCCCAATGGATAAAGGCAAAAGGTTAACTTTTGTTTCCTATCCCTGCCTGGTTTTCTTTAAAATGCTAAAAAATCACTCATGTTCGATAATCTCGGTTCAGCAAATGAATAAACTGCAGCCTACGAAATTGCAGCTCTTCTGTTACGCAACAATAGACCGTACGTAACAGAAAGTGAACAACATAGGATGGTAAAATGAATTTGAATCATAAACACATCATTTGCAATGATGAGAAAAAATAATACATTCAGAATAAAAAAAAATATGTGAAATATGCAATCGTATATTAGTTAATATTTAACACAAATATCCTAATTTTCGAGGCGCACTTAGCAAATCTTACGAAACGAATATTCATTGTTATGCAAGCGCGATGATTCAACCGCGTTTCCCCGAAAATTAGACCAAGCCTGAATTCTAAAAAAAGGTCAAAAAAAGACTTAGGCGATAGCGCAATTTTTTTTGACCTAGTCCCGTGGTTCACATAGCGCGTCGTTTCAATTTCGCTAGGGCGTCGCAAAATTTTTGATTCGTGAACCTTTCAAACAACCCATATCTTCTACTTTTACTGAAAAAAGTAAGATTAAATAATAAAGTTTAAAGTTAATAAAGTTTTGATAAAGATTATAAAGCTTAATTCTGAAATTCGGGTTTCTGTAGATAAAGATTATTTTTCCTTGGTTCAAAAAGCGTTGCGCACAAGGATTTCTTGCTATCAACTCAGTGGTTCTCGAACTTCATTGTATTGTTACGCCCTACAAAAATATGCTCAAGTTACGAAAACCCGTGAAAATACGTATTGATACCTTTCAATAAAATACCTTTTTTGCAATGAGTTTCATATAAAGGAACGAACAAAACATAACGACAGTCAGTGAAATCATATTCAATGGGCCTTGGTAAAAAAGGCCTGCTTTATATAAATACGAAATCGCAAAGGGGATAGGAGTCCGCAAAGCTTTTTGAACCAAGAAAAATAATCTTATCTACAGAAAACCGAGTTTTCAGAATTAAACTTTTTTATTATAACACCATCACCACAGGTAAGATCGATATAATCTTCCCCTTTTTCTGATAAAGTAAAAGATGGGTTGGTTGAAAGGTTCGCGAATCATGAAATTTTGCGACGCCCTAGCAAAATTGAAACGATGCACTTCCACGGTATTAAGTCAAAAAAACTTGCGCTATCGACTAAGTTTTTTAAGGGGGAGCGCTTGTATTAAAATAATTCTTAAAATTCAGGCTTGGTTTTATTTTCGGGTAAACACGATAGAAAAATCGCGCTTGCATAACAATGCATATTCTGATCGTAAGACCCGATTTGCCCAATGCCGACTTTAATCGTAAAGCTAGCGGTTCCCGAAGGCGATTTGCGCCTCGAAATATATTACATATATATTTTATTTATTCTAAATGTTTTATTGTTTCTCATTGCTGCAAATGATGTGTATACGAATCAAATTCATTTTATTACGGGTTACGTCGGGTATATTGTTAGGTAACAGAAGAGGTAAACCCTACATGCTGCAATTTCGTAGGCTGCAGTTTGTTCATTTGCTGAACCGAGTTTATCGAACATGAGTGATTTTTTAGCATTTTAAAGAAAAACCAGGCGGAGATAAGATAAGTACATATTAACGATGACAAAATTGTGTTTTATTATCAGGCAGCATATTTTTCGTGTTGGTGCGTCAAGAGTTTTTTCCATGATAATTTGACGCCACACAAACCGCTGTCTTATGTTAAGTTTGATCAATAAGAGTGAACAATTCCGGATAAGGACCATGCCGTCGGTGGCCTGACATCGTAATTCATCATTTAGGTCTGCATAAACGAACATTAAGTCAAGGCCGGACTTGCTATGAAGCAAAAAGTATTCGCACCCATTACACTGAATAATTGAGTAACGTTGATCTGAATAAATATGTGTTTGTTTTTGTAATTGAGTAGACCTACTAAAAGTTGAGAATTAGCTGTGTCAAACATCAAAAATGCATATTTCGAACTGTTTAGCATTATTAACGCTAACAAGGGCCGCGGAAAATTTTAATATAATAAAAGGGGCCGCGAGCTCAAAAGTTTGGGAAGCCCTGGTGTAGACAATGCTTAATTTTAGTTATTGTGATTAGCTTTACCCACGTCAATCACGATCAATTGGTAAACGATGTAAATACGCATCAATATAAAGCGAACCAGCGTATACTAATATATATGAGTAATCGTGGTGGCAACCGCTTTTCCATCAAATTATCCTGCAGCGGGTATTATTACAATACACAATTATTCTTGAGTTTGAATATGCCTGGAATACAATACAATTCTTGGAATACAATTAATTTGGGCAATTTTGTGTAATCAAAGTATTATGACAACTTATGCGGTTTGGTACAGGTATAGCATTTCATTTTGAAACCCTTAGTGAAGTTTATCAAGATCACTACCAGAAATAATTTCATGGTCATTTTAAACCTTGCTTCGAGTATTATCTGATAATGACATCGACAAATACATAGTGCTTTAATTTTATTTCATGTCGCGCTTTTTTGGGAGATTTCACATTCTCATCTCCACTTTGAGAAAATATCTATGAATACTTATGTGACATGCAAATCACTGATTCAAACTTACTTTGGAAAAGGATACTTGTTTGTCATATTCAAATAATGTATCCAATTTGCGGGTCGACCTATATTTCAGTTATAAATTTCATAATGAATAAGAATAAAGGCAACAGAACGGTGTACAATGAACTGCTGGTCTTTCGTTATCCATCACATACTGCTTTGCGTTACTTCATTATTCATTTTTTTCACTTTCAAATACAGATCTAATTCTTGTTATCACATTTGTTGGAAATGATATGGATTTATAAAAATCCTAATGAAAATAGAATAAGACGTCTACATGGCAGAGTCACAAATGAAGACTTTTGTATATTTATTACTAAACCCATTCGGAAGTCCATTCCCTACTTATTTTCGAAGTATAACAATGTTACAAATCGAACAGCGTTAATTGTCTTGGCCATTTGCTCTACAAATTTTCGCCAACCAAATCTTTAACCAGGCTATATTAAAGCATCATATATATGTTATATTAAATTGATTCAATCAGTTTCGTTCTATTTAGTAACGGGATTCCAACTTTGGATTGCAGTTATAACAACGGGATTGGTCTGCACGTTTTATACCACCTTGGTAAGTGTTATGGTATTTTTGTGGCAATTGTTCAAGTTAACAGTGAAAGTGATATACGGTATATATATAGTTTTGTGTTCCAGTGGAATCGATTTGTAATTGCTATAAAAACAAATAAGGTGTGCGTGGAAGTGTGTGTACTAATATGGAGGTAACTGATTTTGTTCGCCTACTTTACATCAAGTTGTGTGAAGGGACTGAAACCTATGGCAGGGGGTATATTTACTTGGCTAACACAGACGATAATAGAACTAAAATAAGGAAAATCGTAATAAAATTATGGCCTAATTCTAACCTGGTACACACATTACGGGAGTACCCAAATAAGTATACTGCATGCAAATGCTAAAATAAGACCTTCATGGACAATTCGTCTTTCTTTTGTGTTTGCTGAACATGTCGTGAATTACAGTTTTACGTTATTATCCGATTATATTCTCTAATCTTCCAAGTTTTCAGTCACGAGCTATCTTTTATAAAGATCTTGTAAATTTGAACTTTTTATCTGTCATTGATCATTTTCGAATTTCATATGAGTTTTTTAAAATCTCGGCACGAATATTTATTGAAGTTATTGACAAAAAATCTATATGTATCGTTGTCAAATCATATTCCATTCGAACTATTTCGTCAGAATTGAGTTTCTTAACCTTTACTTACTGAAACTGAACATTGTTACCCACAATATTTACCTTGTTTTCCATTCAGGGCGGTCTTAGAGGCGTGATATGGACTGACGTATTCCAGGGAGTTATTATGTTTGGTGGATTTCTTGCGGTGTTGATCAAAGGAAGTGTAATGCACGGTGGAATGGGAAACATATGGAGAATAGCTGAACGCGGAGGAAGAATAGATTTTGTTCAGTAAGATTTCTAACTATTTTTAATATTTTCTCACTCAATGATTTTTCAAATTCAATACTTACATACAGTACATTTGGTATTGTGGCGTAGTCTTGATGATCGAATAGTTTTGTCAGGGCACCTTATTATTAACCTCAAAATTAAACAATGAAATGATTAAGAATGAATTTCCGTCATATTAATTAACATGAAACACATTTACCAACATAAGCTGCACTGAGATACAGAAGACGTCTGTCCAATCTTGTGCTAATAAATTTTGTTTGTTTTTCTAGCTTTGAAACGGATGTTAGAATAAGAAATACGGTATGGAGCATCCTTATTGGAGGGACGATTCGATGGGCGGGAATGTATGCAGTCAGTCAATCTCAAGTACAACGATATTTGAGCTGTAAATCAGAAAAGCATGCAAAATGGTACGTAATCAACGCAAATTCAAAACAACAGAGCAATGCTCGAAAATATGGGCACAAAATCAAAACGAAGCAGCATCCAACCTTACGGTAGTTTGACCACTAAATCGCTGAAATGTGATCACGATTCACGGCAAAGTGCAATTTTTTAAATTTTGATGATGTCATCACATAGAAATTTAAAGGGAAAAACAAATTCCGTAAAATAAATAAAAAGAGTACCCTTTTAACGACAACAACAATAACAAACAAAAATGTTTAACTACTAAAAATTCCAGTACTCAAAGTTTTCTACAATAGTTATTAAGAAAAGCGATTTTTTACAAAAAAAAGAAGAGAAACACAAAATGATCCATAGGTTCCATTTTGTGTCGACAAAAGATCATAATTTCGATGTCGATATAAACAATATTGTACTTTGACAGGTCGATCTATTTGAACGTAATTGGATTGGTGGCCTTGGTTACGATGGGTGTGTTATGTGGGCTTATTCTTTTTGCACATTATGAAACATGCGACCCCCTGCAAAGAAAATGCGTACAAAAACACGACCAGGTAATAATTATTTGTATCATCTATGCTTACTCGTATATTGATTCAAAATTGGATTCATTCTAATACGAGTGCCAAGTATCAAACATATTCAATATTACAACTGATGGCAGAAGATGTTCATTTTCCGAGTATCGGCCCTCATATTTATTATTTATTTATTTTAGTATCTTAAGTTCATCTGATTTCATTCACAAGAAATATCCATATAACAAGTATGCTTTTCAATCAGCTATTTAAACGTAAAGAGTATTAGGGTTTAGATAAACTAAAATTTGCCCTGTTCACTCCAGATAAATTGCGAAATGTCCCCTCTTGCTTGAATATGAGATTTTTTCCCTGTCATCATAGTTAGCGCCACGCCACAATCTCAAGACAATAGAAATTGATTCTATTAACTATTTCACAATTTTAGCTACTGCCTTACATGATGCTTGAAATTTTTGAAGACTATCCAGGAGTTGCTGGTTTATTTGTTTCAGCTGTGTATGCCGGGAGTCTGAGGTGAGAACATACTAAAATTATTCAACCACCAAGTACGGACTAATAAGCCAACATATTGCAATCCTGAAACTTACCATTAAAACCACAGCAAAGATTAAATCTTCTTCGCGCCTACCTCATCCCGCGGAGGGGGAGTGTTCGAAAAACCATCCAAGACCCAACTTGATCGTTACCTTTCCGATCAGGTCCCTTTTTCCCGCGACGCGGACGATGGCGGCCTTGAAGTACCATCCCTAGCCACGGCGATCAGACTGATCAAACTGTGTGCTGCTTTGGCATTATAAGAACACCCGAAACACATTGTGCAAGCCATTATTAGGTATCCTGATTTCCTAACACTCAACCTCTGCTTCCACGATGTGGATCTTATTTATCAAGTACAAGAATAACTGTAAACAACAAGGATGCAAAAAATATATTGACGAATAAACTGCACAATACCATCGGGATTGTTAGCAGTCAAATAGGCATACTTATCAATATGCATTAACGTGACACGCAGCGATGTTCCATGGCAATCCACCCATCGCACGGGCAAGTAGATGAGTCAAAATCGATACAACCTTTGTCGGTGTGGAAGGACAAACCGACAGATATTTTGATGCATAACACTTGATCAAACTGGAAAAACTCGTGTTATTATGCCACTGATCTTTTTCAGTCTGGATTTCAATAGCCTTTATTGGTTACATCTTTTCTCACGCGTGGTAAAGTCTAGTTGGCTATTCTCACCGTCAAGAAATAGCATTTTACATTTGATTCAGAAACGCGTGATGATTAACCGTCGGTTGTTGAGCGCCTCTGCAATGATATCCCAATGAGCGTTCGTGCAATTGCGTGAAAAAGCGAGCAGGTTCGTGTTAGTGTGCAGCTGGACTCTGTAATTGGGTAGAATAGGCAGGAGTTTACTTTAACCTAATTGTTATTGCATAAATCTCAGTCAGAAAGTTTCAATAATTTGGTAAATGGATGTTGAATTGAAGAAGGCACAAACGCCAAACCTGATCAAATGAGTGGGCTTGTTTGGGGAAATTATCGTTACGCCTATATGATAATTGACCACGCCTCCGTAGAAGTGCGTGTTTGGTTAAAAAACGTTGGTTAATCTATAAAAACAAATTGAAAACCGACTCTTTTTTACAGTTCTGTCTCATCTGGAATTAATGCTATGGCAACCGTAACATTAGAGGATATGATCAAACCCGTTACAAATCTGAACGATTCTTCATATACCTGGATATCCAAGGGTAAATACATTGTGTCATGATGCATTTTCAGTTAGCTGTTACGGAGTCATATAACTGTGCAGGAGATGCGACAACGCAGTGACAATACCGGATGCCAAAAAATTTAATAAGAATGATGAAAAATGGTTTCATTTTTATTTTTCAGGAATTGTCATAGTTTTTGGTCTACTGAGTATCGGGATGGCGTTTCTTCTTTCGACTGCCAAAGAGTTGCTTCAAGCAGCATTCAGTTTGATGGGCTTGATGATGGGACCTTTGATTGGAATGTTTACTCTTGGAGTTCATTTTCCATTTGTTAATTCTATAGTGAGTAAATTCTTAGCAAATTATGAATATTTGTGGTACTATTGTGATTTCTGATTGGTATGCCCAGCATCCGGTAAATCAATTCAATGTCAAAGATTATTATGCTATAGGTTTGCTTCAGTTAGACAACGTGCGCTTTTACATGCTCTCGTTTGAAAATTGTTGTATCAGGTGTATACAATGGTTTAACGTGCGTGTTAGAATAAGAAAAATCAAATTGTGTTGCAGTAAATAATATATGATTCAATTACAAACTTTCCATCTCAGGGTAGTATCAGCGGGCTACTGGCAGGTATTGGAGCAGGTACCTGGTTCTACGTAGGTTCAAAAGGGATCAAGAAATCCAACGACCTAATCAGAAAACTTCCATTGAGTGTTGAAACTTGTGCAACTACTTGTGGTGGGGAATCATACATCAATGGCAACGATTCTTGGGTGTACGGCATGAATTATACCACCACAATGGAGTTGCCTTCCACTGGATCCGGAGACGGAGATTCGTACATTACAAGTACGACTCTACCTTTCACCAACTCTACCTTAGGAGCAGCAGCTGATTTTCAAGATGATACGCCTTTTTACACATTGTCTTACCATTACATCAGTGCAATCGGACTTGGTTTTACATTGGGCGTTGGAATTCTTGTTAGCTTGCTAACGTGTAAGTGCATTTTCAGTGTCAGTGTGTAGCTTCCACTATATCAAACGGAAGCGTTTTTTTTTGGACGCTGCATCTCACATTGGACGTTGAGAGCGCTATCAAAAATACCTACAAAAAAGTATAAATTTGAAATTAGTTATATTTAAATAAATTCGTTGAGTGTTAAGTATCTAAAATGCAGCAAAATATTGTATGATAATCCCACAAATTGTCGCTTGTTTTAGGTGGGTGGAAAGATCGTAACGAAGTTGATCCCAGATGTCTGAGACCTCCCTTTGATCATTGGATGTTCCGGTGTTGCCTTCCAGAAAAAGTTAGAAAATTTTTGAGATTTGGAATTGAATGGGAGGATAATGTGCCAGAAAACGAGGAGGACTTGAAAATGGAAGTATCAAAAAGGGTGAGTGATTCAATGAATTGATTGCACCTCTGATTCACGATATACCTTAATGAAAAATATGGAATCTCCCATTCCTTGAAACGTTTTACAAATATGTATAATATACCTTTTATTGTTAATGTAAATTGATTAGTGAAATAACCACCAATTCACCAAACGTTGATGTAAAAAATGAAAAGTCAAATATGTAACGAATATTTGGTTGCAGTCTCATGAACAAGATGTAAGTGGAATACCAACTCAACAAAATTTCGATTCGAATTTGCCAATCTAACATTGAAACCAGTTTGCAAAGTTTGACTTCTTTTATCAGTATGAAAGTTATGAAAAAACTATTGAAGCGTAAAACAAATATTCGACAGGTTAATGAATTGGTTTAGAGAGTTGCCTACTTCGAACGATTTTTTATATATAAGATAAATATTTGTAAGCGTGGAGATGTAGTTTTGCCCAGGTTGGTAAATATCCTCTCTCATAAATTTGACATGGAATTTCCTGTATTAAATATTGATATGCATATGTTCGCTATTTTGCAGGATTCGAGTAATGGAAACTCTGAAGGCATATTATCAGAAGCATATGAACCTGATAGGGTCCCTGTCAATGACAAAGACGACGTAAATAGCGTATAGCAGTTTAAGTACCAATTGGAAACGTCAGTGTACATAACGATCGTTTCAATATTATGTTGTTGTTCTTGTTAGTATTCTTCTTCTCCTTCGTCATGATGAAATCGCTTTTCTCTTCGAATACTGGACTAATTGCTTTGGAATTTTCAGTGGTTAAAGATTGATTTTTTTGCCAGAAGGGTATTACTTTTAATTATTTCAAAAATTTATGTGGACTTCAAGATATTCGTTTTTCATGTGTTAGAATAAAAAATAGCGACACCTTGTGACGTGTCCATATATTTGAGCACAGCTCTCTTGTTTTCAATTGCATACTTTTTCTCAAATCACAATCATAACACATTCACAAAAAGAACAAATTGTATGGCAATATGATTTTTAATAACGTTTCATTGCAGTAAAAAAGAATAAAATATATTTGGGATGTTTTGTTTTAATATAGAACAGTTTCACGATATCTGAGTAGCGGAGGATCCTTGTGCATGCTTGCACCATTAAATCGCCACGGTCACAAAATGATTCAGGTACCTAGCTATAGGAATTTCAGCCAGGCCAAAATGAAGGAAAGTCATTTGCAGTAACGAATATTAACATCCATGCTAGATTGAATCCACAAAACTTGCACCAATACCTGCATTAGTACTCACAATACTTGCAGTTGTGAAATTTTTTTAGAAAGATGTATGAATTTACACAAGTACACTTAGCTCGGCAGATACCTACCTACTGTGCCACATGATTGCTCAACGATGAATTTCTGCCTTGGAGGCAATCATACGAACGATGTATGTATAGGTGCAGGTATACATATGTTCAAAAGTACGTGTGTGAAAATGTACGCAGGTAGGTTCTACTTGACTGCAACTTTTTGTTACATCGATATCAGTTTAATTAAACTGCACTTGCCTGAACGACGATCCATCATGTATGTTAAAATCCAACATTCTTTTATGCAAAACAAGGAGTTTTGTGGTCTAGTCTGGAGTGAACCAAAGCTTGAGCCTGCATGCGGTTATTTACAGTTTGAGGTTATAAAAATAAATTTTCCAGTTTATTTGTCTTTGCCTCTAAACCCCGACAATCACTTTTGACTTTCATTATGATTAAATTTATTTATTTTAATATGAGGTCGTAAATGACGCTAAAATAAGTTCATATGACATTTTTAAAAATCGCATTCAAAGCAGTTTTTGAAGTGTGAATAATTGAACTAGAGGTATATATATAAATAAATATTGATATCATGCAATGCTCCATGCAACTATAATTTTTGTATCGTATTGAATTTTGATAGGCTTAAATAACCGTAAGCTCAAATGTACCTTATGTTGTTGTAATTTTTGTTGCAATTTATAAGTGAAAATGTACGGATGCAAAGAAATCTGCAGGTGCAAGGCCAACGGAACGACGACGTGAAAATATTCACTTCTTCAAGTACGGGATGCGTTCATAATAAAACAATCCAAATAAAAAGGGAAAAATGCGAAACAAAAATACCAAAGTATTTAATGTTTACAATTGAAAATTACTGCTACTGGATTTTCTATAACTATTTAACGTGAATTACTGATTTGAGTATAAACTGGGGACACAAAATTATATTCCTATCTATGATACTGTGGATGCAGCAATGATTTGTGCAATAGATTTAAAATCTCTAAATTGAAGCTAGTCCGAATGGTATAAATTGTAAAATTACTCATAATGTTAATCGATAGATAGCAAAGCCACTAAATGTATTTACGCCTTTATTCATTTATTTTTCAATCCAGTCCAAACTATCTAAATTTCAAGAAACTTCTCATAGAATTATCACTCTCTTGTATCGCAACAGCTGGGAAAAAACATATTGTATAGAATTACGTGTTACGCCTGGGTAAGTACAGGTAAGGTAACTCGAAACCATATAGTAAGGTATTGATGGAAGCTTCATTCAAGCCGAAACGGCTAAGACATCGCTATTCTACGACAATTTTGTTATCAATGCTACGGTCCGCTAGACCCATTCTTAAAAGTTAGCGGAATGGCCTGAGGCTATCTTGCATTGTTGCTGAGGATAGAAATGTAGCTTGTAGTAAAGCATATTGCAAGTTGTCAACCCTGGGGAAATGAACACAGATATATGTCAAATGAAGTTCAATTTAGTTCTGTTCATTAAGCACTTGATGAAAGAAATATTTGGCATCGAAAAGAACTAATATTGTGTCTTCTTATGAAAGCACATGGCAGCTGCCGTAAGAGAATTCTGGCTCAGTAGGCTCAATCGTGTTATGGTATTTATATGGTTTATATAGGAAAACAAGAGAACTAGAATTCTGGAGACAATATTGCAAGAGCAGTCCAATCAGAAATGTGTTATGATATAGAGATAGACCTTTCACCTACAATATTTATTTTGCAGTTGAATCCAAAATATGCCGTTGAAGATAAGTGGTTTTATCAGAATACTGAATTTGACAGCTCAGTGTTGTAAAACGAGTCATACTTTTGGGATTAGAGATGAAATAGTCAGGATCGATTCCGAAGGATTTTTTTCAATTTGTTATCGGCCTATTACAGAAAAATATCATATGAAATCAATTTGGCATATTTCAATATTGCTGTTACAAGGTCTTGTAAAAGATCCATTCAAATCTCGATATACGCACGGAGTTGTAAACCAGTGTTGTAGACTTTGATTGGTTTATTTCCTCTATTTTTTCTCGTGCTGCTTGAAGAGTTATTTCAAACCTGGAACAATGGCAGTTAGGTATATTTCAATGACAATTCCAACCTAAAATATTACTGTATTAATAGTGGGCTCAACCTCATAAACGTAACCAAACGGACAAAAATCGTCGTATATTGCAAATTCGGATTGCACAAAATTATTTAATTTCAGAAAAATAATATGTTATGACCAAATAACATAATAAATCTAGATGAGATGCTGTTTGATGGATAAGCCATAAAGACAATTACTTCTGATAAAAACACTAATCAGCAGGGAAATGGCTGGAAGAGAGCCTGCAAGTCTCAAGGCTGCAGACTACGCCGTGTTTATTATTATGTTGATGGTTTCTGCCGGTATTGGTATTTTCTTTGCATACAGAGATAGGAAGTCAAAGGCTGGAGTCCAGGGATACTTAATGGGCGGAAGGTGCGTTTTTAGTTATATTTAATCCTCTATTATTCTTAATGGTAATCAGACCATCAAGTTGACCAATCATGTGAAACATATCGTGCCTGCATATTACATAGTTGTGCTTTCTCTATGGTTCCAGTAAGACTTGTGCATAACTGATACCATGTTGACTAAAACGAGGGTACCCCCTAGAGTACCCAACTGAAGAATCTTCAACCCAAGTTAGACCGACTGTAGTATCTCAAGCCAAACTCAGACCGACTGTAGAATCTCCACCCCAACTAAGACCATCTAACCCTAACCTTACCAAATATTTAGTCCAGGTCAAATGAAGGATCAACTGGTATTATCGGCTTAGGTGGGTTAATGGAATATTCTTCAGTTGGGAAACGAGATCAACTGAAGAATTTTCACCCCAACTAAGACCAACTGAGGAATCTCCTCCCCAGGCTGGTCTGGGGGGAGGGGGGGGGGGGGGATTCTTCAGTTGATCCGACTCCTCTCATCTCTCGTCACTGCACTGAAATTACTCATCATTAAAGTTTATTTGTCGTTGCCAGTTGAGCAACTATGCGTGAGGCGGCTTTGTTGTATGAATAATCGTTTGTTCTTGTGGCGTTTCAGCGTCGTTTTTACGCGATAATAACTTTCATTTAGAAAGTCAATCCGACTTCAAGACTTTTTAGGCAAATAAATCTAAGGCCAAAAACCATTCAAAAAATAAAGTGTAAATATACATTTTTGCAGCAATTTCAATTGCGTTTCTAATACATATTGACAATCAATATCCGTGTACAGAAAAACCTCATGTTACAGATTCCTCACTATAAACATGAGGTTCGAATCTTCTGAAAAGTATCGTAAAAACGTAATCGTAAAGTTTTGAAAATCTTAAGACAACTGTTTGTTATGGAAGTGGTTTGATACTATTACTAACGCTATATTTTTTTAGAAACATGAGTTACATCCCTGTATCGATATCGCTTAGTTTGAGCTTCGTATCTGCTGTAACTATCCTTGGAATTCCAGCAGAAATGTATATATTTGGTTCAATGTATTGTTGGTAAGTTTGTGTAAAATTCATGATAGTTCTACTGCTCTCGCATGTATCAGATTTTCTGACAGACAAAAGTTTGAATAGTAGCCAAGAAAAAGTTGGCAAATTTGTTTTGTGATAAAAGTCAGATTTGTATAAAACAACAAAGAACAACAAACAGCATCAAAATTGATTCCCAGTTTTTATTGTTTTGGCATAATTTTCAATATTGAAAAAAACAATATACGACGTATTTTTTCATACCAATTCGTAATGTTCAACATTAGAAAAGACAATAAAAAGAATATTAGAGTAAACCTTTCAAATTACTCGGTATGCAAAAGTTTGTCAAAAATTATAATTTCCCAAAAATTACAATTGGTATACAAATTAAAAAAAATCCTGGTCTTTTATTTATAAAATTATTTCATATTCATCTTTTATTTTTATCACAGGTTATTATTCGGATGCGTAATGATATGTGTGCTTCCTGTGACGGAAATCTTCATTCCAATTTTTTATCGACTTGGAATCACCAGCAGTTTTGAGGTGATAAAGGAAATCTATAAAATTCACTGTATTTTTATGCTTTCTATTTTTTTTTTTTAGAAACCCAGACACATTCTTTGTTTGAATATGCTTGGATAGGTGATTTATTAAATTATTTGCAATAGACATCTTGAATATCTCAATTTCAATTTTCTACACGGTTGACCACTTTTTATTAAGGATATTTTGCAGATATTTTCTATGCCCTGTTACTTTTTGTATAGAAAAATAATTTTGCGCCTTCCGTGATTTTTCGCTTTATTCAGATATAATGTTGGTTGAAACCTCGACCTAACTTTCGATATACATCTTATTTTATCGACTGACTGCTGTTTTTCAGTATCTTCAACTTCGTTACAATTATGCCGTTCGTCTTCTTGCCACTGCGGCATATATATTTCAAAATATCATGTATATCGGGATTATGATATTTGCCCCAGCGCTTGCTTTAAATTCAGGTATTTCGTTAATATTTGTGATAGGTCTTACATCTAGGCAGAGTTTTCATTCCGTCCTGTTTTTAAATATTTATCTCTATTTGTTAGCTACATTTCTATTCTGTGTGATAACACACAGTTTTAATGTTGAAATTTGCACAGAAGACGGTGGGTTAGATTGGATTGCGCTACAGTCTTTATAGGTTTCATCGGGGTTGTCGTAAATGTTTGTTCATTTTTTGTACCTACACTTGTCAGTGTGGTGTTCCGTCGCAACGATCACCTGAAAATGGTTCATTTTTTGGCCTTTATCTTGCTTGTCTAATGTAGCCTGGACGGTAATAGCCATTTTTATTTGAAAAAAAAAAACTATGGCGGCGATCTTACCACTACTGATGTAAATCCCCAGGATCGTGTTACTGTGCTGTTGCTCTATATATCCATTGTGTGATGATTACAGGACATTTTTCTAAACTAGTTAATTAACAAATGTATATTATCATTTTTAGTGACGAGTTTAAACCTTTGGGCATCAATATTCTCTATAGGACTTGTCTGCACTTTTTACACCACATTGGTAAGTCCAGCTTTTTATCCTTCGCAGCAACGTCCTTATTCTGATTTTACTGATCATGGCCAGTTAGTTATATAACTTTTGAGGAAAAATTGGACTTTTTCTTATTACACAATTTCTGCGTCAATATGGGAAAGTCGAACCGGAATGTGCGAGTAGCACCGTACGCCTGAGTGGTTGTTTCTTAGGATTAAGTCCCCGCTTTAAACAAATGTAGAATTTTCACAGTGTAACATTGATACCAAAAGTTGACCTTTAAAGTTTTAATTAGTCACTGCAATATAGTTTTCAGAAAATAAATGAACGATAATTAAAATGCATGTTAAAAATGAAATTTAAATTTCACGATCCAGGGTGGACTGAAAGCTGTTATATGGACTGACGTATTCCAAGGCTTCATCGTTCTTCTTGGAACAGCAGCAACTCTATTTGCAAGCGCATCAAAAGCAGGAGGTTGGGATCGAGTTTGGAAAGTGAATTATGAGAGCGGGCGAATCGATTTTGGAAGGTTAGTTAGTAGCAATGCATGTGTTTTTCAATCTACATTGCATTGAAATCAAGAAGATTATTTATAACGATTATCCGCGATGAGAAAAATAACGTCTTCATGGAATGGACTAGTAAATTTATCAATTAAAATTAGGGAAGATATTATATGATCCATGAATGTCCATCTTTCGATTGCCATTGCGTAAAAATACTTGCTAACGTAAATGTTATTTAGATAATTCAAACAACTACTCACTTGTGTATATATATATATATATACGATGGTCTAATGTTAAAAGAACAATAAAGCGGTTACTGTATAATTAAGAACTTTACAATGTCATTGGAAATGAGCTAATGTATGGTCACCAAGTACAATGATCACATATATATAGATATATTTTAGATAAATGATAAACCATGTTCTAGTGTTATTCATTATACTCAAATAAGTTCATTTAGAGCTAAAATAATATATACGATTGCATTTAACTGCCGTCACCAATCACAAATTATAGGGTCCATTGCGCCATACACGAATAAAATACAATCGGTCTAAATTTTAAGATTATGTTTTCAGGCAATTATTATACACATAATCAATGAACTGCATTATTATGTACACAATTTGTCTAAAACATGTAAGAACTACGTCTCAATTGCAAACTCTTTTTTCTTTGGTGATGCTCGTCGTAACATAAGACAAAAACCTCGAAATACTAAGTTTACTTGATAGTTGATACATATCATTTGTTCATGAATGTTATCGAGATACAACGTTTCATTTTTGTCGCTGCCAGTACTCAATATAAAAAAAAATGAGATTTTCTGCCTAATCGATTGGAACCAGATATAAAAATAGACTAGAACAAGAGTGTGCAACACGTGGCCCGCGGTCTGAATGTGACCCACAAGAAAAAATTGTGTGGCCTGTGGAACAGTGACAATTTTGAATGGTGTGCGGCCCGCGAATCGAGTTTTAAATTTAGTTTAATCTGGTACGTGCTAGTAATTCCAATTCCCTTGCGTTGCAAATCTTATGCCCGAGTCCAATTAATATCTACTATGCCTATGACGTTACAATTTCTTTTTTGTGCGCGCAAACACTAGAAAGCCTATGTTAAACAAAGATGCGGGTCGCGTTTCACCCAGTTATTTGTATCTGGCCCTCCTTCATTACAGGTTGCACACCACTGGTAAAGAAAATAAAAATGTGTCTAGTCTAAAGTATGCATTAACAACATGTTTGGTCACATTTGAGAATAATTAGCGAGAATGACAAGAAATTTATTTGCATTTATTTCACACATCATAATATTCCACCTTGAACTTTATTATTCTATTTCATTTCTAGATTTGATTTTGATGTTCGAGTAAGACATTCATTTTGGAGTATTTCAATCGGCCTCGGATTCCTATGGATGAGTATATTTGGTACAAGCCAATCTCAAGTTCAGAGATATTTGTGTTGTCGAACAGAAAAAGACGCTAAAAAGTAAGCACACGCGGGAAAGTGTTATAAAGAACTACCGTCATTTCTTATTTCAAGTTTCTCGTACTAACTGATAAATATGAGGCCAAAGTTGTAATAGAAAAAGAACACATTGATGGATATAAACACAACAATTGGTCTCTTTGCGTAAAATACAAAATCTAATACTTTTCTGTTGGACATGATCTAACAAGCTTCATGCCCAATCTACGGGGATCAGATTTACCGTGCCGTCGAGTCGAAGTATGAGTTTTGCTTGTTTTTATTTATATTGTTGTTGGAGTCATATTTTCAATCCTTTCAGAGTCGGAACCGAAGTTGAAAATGTTGAAATCTTTGGTATAAGAAATATACACTTTTATGGCGATAATCTGAATCATAATTTTTGCCAAAAACTCAAAAAGTGACGTACTTTCTCAACAAACAACGAATGCTTGCCTATATGCCATTTTTTTTTATCAAAAATTGGTTTCTCGGAGTTTGGCGTCGAAGTCAAAATTTCCCTCAACCAGAAATTGAGAGTCGGAGTCGTTGTCGTTTCATAAACGACCCGCAGTTTTGTGTCCTAGTGTGGTTTAAATTTTCAATATGAGTGATGTGGCAGTAAAGCTAACATGAAATAAATATGACACATTTTACGTAAATATTTTGCTATATATAAACCCTACAATTTGTTTAAATAACGAGTTATATATATATGTTTATAACAGAGGTGTTGTAATCAGCATGGTCGTATCAGGTCTTATATTCTTACTGACAGTATTCACGGGATTCGTCATGTACGCATATTTTGCTGACTGCGATCCATTATTAAACAAAGAAGTGTCTGCTCCTGATCAGGTTTGATTTTGATTGATTGGTTGATTTTGATTACTGCAATTGTAGTTAATGAAGTTAAATTGAGAATAAATTGAGGTGTAAGATCATATTGTAGGTAAATATTTACATACGTAGAAAGGCCAAACAACGCCCCGCGTCGCGAAGTATGGAAGCGTATATTTTTCCAAGTACACCAATTCCGTCGCGTACATCTATTTTACATGTGGCTCTCCACATCTCTCCTAAAAAATAGGTTTTAGACAAAAAGCCACTGATACGTATAGAGGATGAATGGAAACTGTAAAACAGTTTTTTTAAATTCTCAAATCTTCAAAATTGTGAATACATAAGCAATATGTTTTAATTATGTTTAATTTAAAACCATTATATGTTGCAAGGAAAGTAGCCTGACTTTATTATCTTAAACATATTTTTATTGTATTTAAATTTTGAATTTCCAGCTGCTACCTTACATGGTATTAGACGTTTTCCGCGACCATCCCGGACTTCCTGGCCTATTTGTTGCGAGTGTATTTTCTGGATGCTTGAGGTAAAAATAATTATAAACAGAATCATATCATTAAAATTAGGTATGAATTATTAAATAAGATCCATGGCCCGAGAAAATGTATTTTTTTGCAATTTTGGTAGCATTTTTTGAGATTCTTTTAGAGTAAAGCCAAGATTGCCTATATACTCTAAAACTAGTTTATCATGTGGTGAAATCTGATAGAAAATGATCCTAATCTGAACTTAAAATCTTGACTTTTAAAAGTGGAAACGTTGGTATTTCAGATATACAAAAAAAAATGTTTTTGATGAAGCAGTCGACATCGAAGTCGATTTAACTGGTTAATAACCATCAATTTTTCAGTCACATTCACTCCTCCGTTATAGCCACGAATATTATCACCTTGAGCTGTTTTTTTTATTTTTATAAATGGCATATTTTTCAGCACGGTGTCATCTGGTATAAACGCAATGGCTTGCGTAACTGTAGAAGATTTTATTCGACCATTCGTCACGTGGGAAGAGAAAACTTTGACGTGGTTATCAAAAGGTTTGTAAAATTAGCATGCCAATGCATGAACTGCTCTAAACTGGTGAAAATCAACTCAGTGAAGATCGGTGAATTTTCTACCAATAGGGTAATATGTCTGTGTCTGGTTTTCGATAACTAGCATAATAGTTGAATGACACTCGTCCTGAATGGATTTCGTTATATGGAATCAGATCTGAGCAAGCGATCACTTCGACGTACAAGGTTATTTGATATTCTGTTGTCGTAGCTCATAACAACTCACCAAGTTTAGGACGCCCTAACGGAGATTCGTGGACAGACAGGCTCTGAAATCGACATCACTCAAATCTGTCCATATTGTGTGTATACGTTGCTATGTCGCTTTATATTACGCTTTTGGTATTGCCTTACTCTACATACCGTAGGGCGCAGGCTAAGTGATTCGTCGGTTCATGTTTTTATTTCCAAAAAATGCCAGCGTGTCTTTATATGACACGGGTTGTTGTTTTTAGGTCTGGTGTTCATGTATGGCTTGCTTTGTATTGGATTTGCATGTTTATCCTCATTACTTGGAGGAGTTCTTCAAGCTTCACTTAGTGCAATAGGAATCGTTGGAGGACCGCTGCTGGGAATATTTAGTCTTGGAATTGTATTTCCGTGTGGAAATTCTATTGTAAGTTTATATGATTAGAATTGCTGGGTTGTGCTGTGCTAGTCGAGAAAGTACTCGAAATGAACCTGAAAAAATAGGAAATATTTTTCTATGTTGCCCGTCGTGATAAATAATGATAATAATATTAAAAAATGTTTTTTTTTCACTCGATTTAACATGTCACATTGAGGGCGAAAGAGTCTTTAGTTAGAGCTTTATAATTTTTCTTGTCATTGTAATTCCTTCTAGTGGATATGCTATTAATTCAATAACGATGTTCTCTAAAGTTCAAACACATTGTTTTCATTTATAAGTTATATCTAAATCATATGGCATATACTCTTAATGCTTTTACTTATGTTGATTACATTTCTATGACACACCCCACCTAACATACAGATTTAGCTGCCTTTAACATATTTCTATTTTTAACAATCTGTTCACTAAACGCGTTAGAACTATTTTTTTAATTTTCACCAACAGGGTGTCACTGTAGGCATGATATCAGGAATGATATTGACAACTTGGATATATATTGGAAGCCAAGCATATCCACCTCTACCTCAATTTACGAGACCCAAACCACGAGATATTTCAGGTTGTCCAGATCCATCGTCAATCGTGTTTCCGATACCGCCAGATCCGGCTTCTCGTCCGAATATTGCAGATGATTTTTATTCAGTTTCATACGCATATTATACAGCTATAGGATATGCGACCACTATCGGAGTTGGTTTGCTGGTCAGCTTATGCACACGTAAGAATTTATTCCTCAATATTTTCTGTTGTCTTTGCTGTGAATTCTTGGTTTAAAAACCTAAGCAACAGCATTTCGTGAAAAGATTTCGTCCCTGGCCACAGAGTGTGTCAACCACTATAGATTTCATTAGAGTTGGGTAGAGCATAGAACAGCTGTAATTAAGGTTTGGCATCGGAGGAAAGATTTGAAACAAAACAAAAAAAAATATCTCAAAATTCTAACTAGCGTTTCTCACTGAGCCCGAAAGTCGAGGTTCAGATGTACGAGGTTCTTATACTACGGCCTTGACCACACAGGACACTGTACTTAACCTATAAATCAACAGAATGACACGATGCTGTATAAGAATATATGACGGAAAACCTTGAATATTATTTTGAGGTGGATACCAAACACGGAAAGAAGTGAACCCAAGATTGATTAGGCCGTTACTTGATCATAGAATCTTCCGATGGCTTCCTGAGAAGTTCAGAAGATTCATGTGGTGTGGCGTAGAACATGACAAAGTCAATGCGCATGAAGTAAGGAGACTACTGAATTGTTCAAATTTGTATCCAACACACTAATACTCGACGTCGGTAATCTCTGAAAGTAATTAAGGCAAATATGTTTGGTGAAATTTTACTCTTGAATATATACTTCATTTTTTGGCAAACAGGAGAAAGGGTATTTAGTTGATTTTGGGGCGCGAGTGGATTATTAAAAAATTTGAACCTTTTTCAATCAAAAAACGCGCACATTGTCTAAGGTTTTCCAATGAGTTACCAATTTCGGCAAGTTGGAAAAACTAAAATCTTTTCCAAGTTTAAAAATTTATCTCATATTTTCCGATTTGTGAAATTTATACAATGTTCAGGTGATCAAAGTTCCAGAACAGCCGCCTGAATATTCACTGAAAAGGCGTTGGTCTAGTCGAGAGAGAACCAGCTCTCTTCGCCTGAGTAGACGACATTGGAGAGAAGGAAACGCACAGAGAGTAGCGAGAGACTGGAGAATGAAACACGAAAAAAGAGTGGAAATGAGAGAGTTGATGAACAATCAGGAAGAAGAATTGAACAATGACACAGTTCCCGCCAAGCTGGATTTACAAAATGAAACGAACGGTAACAGCAGAACTTCAGGGATAAAAACATCATCTTTGCGACCGCAGAGAAAGTCGTCAAAGTCCAAACAGCCCGATCGAGGGGATTCAGTGAAATCCGGAATACCGAGCGTGTGGATTTGACGTTATTTTAAGTTTGGAATCATAGTACAATGATTTTTTACAAGAAGTTTTAACGCTGCCTTCAAAGGAATTTCCGGTTGTTATAATTAATAAATATGAAGTAAAACGTGAAACCGCGATTTCTAAAGTTCTGTGGATCACAATACAATACAAATCTCATATTTATATGTAAATAGTAAATTCCATGAATGCCGTACTCTACTCTACAGCAAAATATTTTGAAATGATGTGTAAATCATTGCATCGCACATCGCATCTCTACAGAGTTTTAAAGTTTCTGATGTTTCGACAGTGGTTTACAATGATTTATATATTTATTTTTATTAATATTAGGATACTTAAATTCTGCCTAATATACTGCTTATATCACTGATACCATAGAGATAGTGGATTATTTAAAATGAATAATATGAAATAATTAGATATATATATACTTTTTGTGTTTAATCTTTATTTTGAGTATAGTATATGTCTAGTTAGTGTATGCAAAAGTTAGGCTTATTGGTTTAGCTGAACTTGATATCGAAGACGAAGAAGTATTTTCAATTTCCCAGGAGTAGGGATCAGAATTTCAGACTTGTATAACAGTCGAGAGTTGGACTCAAGATCATTTGCTGAAACTATAACATAATTATAGTTTTTATAATATCAGGCATCACCAACTCACAGAGGTACACGAGGCTACTTACTAAAAATCCACTCGATATAATAAGGTCAATAATAAACTTAAAGAATGATCCTATGTAAGAAAATGTATGGATTTTATGCACGTTAGTTTACCCCATATTTACCGGGAAAGGTAAACACGACGCGAAGATGTAAACATTAACAAAATCACGTTGCTCAATCGCTCGAAACGTCAGTATGAAAGAAACGTTTTCAGCATCCGCAGCTGCTATGAATGAAGCGTCTTTGTTTGAGATATCTGCAGTCAGAATAAGAGCTCGATAGTCCGCACCCCAAACGTCTGATTCGGGGTTTCAAAATTGATACTTGGACGTAGCCTCTGTGAAGTGTAAATCTTAAATAAAAACTGACTAATACGCAACCAATATTTTTCGAATGATAATATAATTACGTCGGACTTTATGTCGAAGTATGCATATTTCCTCTTGGTTGCGTATATAAGTCAATGCTTCTAATGTTAAAAACGAAGGAAAGCTTGATTGCAAAGTTTCGTATGCATTTCATAAACTTTTTCCTCGTTTAATTAAAATAACAGTTTATGTTAACAAATAGACAATTCCCTCAGGCCTCAGTATCAGCAAACATTTTTGTGACAGATTCAAATCGCAACTTAGCTTAGGAACAGGTGACAATTTCGTTTGAATAATCTTAATTTTTTTTTTGAGTCAAAATCATATTTTTATATTTGAAAAGTTCAAAATATTTCCCATCTCAGTTGTTTTCGCCGTAGGCTTCGACACTAAGTAATCAGCCGATCGTTCACATGTTTAGGTAAAGTATTTATAAATGACAGTCTTAAAGCAATCGAAATCTGATGCCAATTTCCTTTTTTTCGCGAAAATCCAATTAGTTGACATTAACGTTATTCCCAGAACTCGATGCTTGTACATGTATAAAACTACAAAAATCAAAGATTAAAAGTTGATCACAGATTGTAAGTTTCAATTAGACAATATTTTTCTGTAAATAAGGCTTGGAATTGAACTCCAAATTTGTCACGTACACTCCAATTTTAACTTTGATTCGGGTGCTCTGGATGTTTATATACAGCTGTGTCAAATGAACTAAGGTGCTGATAACTAGATGAAATAAAAAGCTACTGAAGAGCACAAATTAAGTACAATTGAGTTTACGTAGCTACGTGTTGGATGTTTCTGAATGATGATTAGAAATCTTGTTATCAGGAAACAGTCTTTACAGTGGATCGACGAGTAACGCTCTTCCAGCACATAAACCAAGATTAGCTATGGGGAGCCGAGGATGGACGCCTCTGAAGAGAAGAGTTCGTTGCAAACTACAACAGCTATAAATAGTATACGAGTAATAGTATATATATAGTACATTTGTGGTGCTATTAAATAATTGTTAAGCGTTGTCAAAAGGTGTAAAGAAAGTCTTTCTAATATTATATCAACTAGATTTAACGGGATTGTACCGATACAAACAATTTAATGTACAAATAAACTCTTTTCTAATGGCTACCGCTTATCACAAATTAGGCATGCAGTACCTTGTACAAGCATATTTTCTCTCTCGCCAAGCGATTTGTTGGAGGCAGAAATTAGGCAAATTTTAAGCAAACAATCATGCGTATCCATTATAAGTAAGTCTAATTATTGTTCCGAACCACTAATCTCCACTTAACCCCTAAATATACAGTTTATAGTGGACGCTGTATTGATTTGGAGTTTTGAGAAATGAATTTTCCTTGGAATTTGTCCTTGTAGATTTGTATAATCTCTGCAATTGTCATATACTATAGTATGGCAAGCTTTTGAAAGCTTAGAATCTAAATAAAATAGATAATATTTTGGCGCTTTGGCCGATATCGACATCCAATTTCGTTGGTGTAATTCGATCGGATTCATCGTTAGAGTTCTCAATTTTCTCAGTTGTAAACTTTCACATAAACAGATAGTTACTATGACATCAAATTCAGAAGAAAAGGAGTTGTCAGTTATTGATTACGTAATATTTGCTGGGATGCTCGCAGTATCTGCATTGATTGGAGTTTTCTACGCGTATCGTGATAGAAAGTCAAAAAATGGGACAAGAGGATACCTGATGGCAAACAGGTAACTGCTTTTTATTATGGATGCACTCTATTTTATGGCATCGAATATAATAGGAGCGTGTCCAAACAATTATTTGTTTAACGGAACGACAAATGCACTCACCGTAAAGTAATGTGTCTACAAATGACTTTTGTGCATATCTCGGGACGCATTAAAATCACAAAAGTTGCATCTGAATTTAAAGGAAATTAGTTTCTGCTTTTTGTGCCCATATTCCATTTGGAGGAATTTTATTTTGCACATTTGTTTTATTTTTTTATGGAGATTTTGTGTGATTCATAGAATACAAACAAATCATGTCGATCTATTTTTTCAGAAAGAATAATAGTTTGTTCAATTAGAACGCCTATTACCTTAATTAACCAGCCTCGATTGACCAGCAACACGGGAGTCCAAGTCCCAACCCGCAAACCAAAACATTTGTTGCGGGCGAGAAATTTTTCCCATAAAAAAAAAATTCGCAAGCAAGACACAATTTTTTTTTCAACCACAAACTAATATGTCTTTGCACATGCGGTCCACTCGAAAACATCTAACCAACTATATATTGCATTCTCTGGGATTACAATATAATTAGAAAAAACACGTATTTTTGCATTAGTAGTGTAAACACTGGGTGTTAGTTGCTATCATTTGTTGGATTTTGTGTAAAACTAATTACTTTATAAATAACTTGATATGTGTGTGTAATATCTTTCTTGTTTTACTCAAGGTCGATGGGGGTTATTCCAGTTGCAGTTTCCCTGGGGGTGAGCTTTCAATCCGCAGTAACTGTTCTTGGAATTCCCGCCGATGTTTATCAATTCGGTATGATGTATATATGGTGAGTTTGCTTTGTATTTCAAAAAATCAAATAAAAACTTCAAAAACAGTTTTTTTTTAAAGATGAACATAATGTCACAGCAATTCTAAGATTGCATTAATTTGATAGAAAACTTTTTTCTACTAAAAGATGTTCTGATTATATAAACTGTCACGTGTCAACATCAGCAGGACTACGTTGTTCACATTTTTACGTTTTTTCGTGGATTTTCATGTCTTATACCAAGGGGGGCCTGCTTTCGACTGATCGTTGGTCATACACAAAAACGAATGGGCACTGAATATGCAGATAACTGCACACACACATACAAAAAATTTCACCGCTGCCAATAAACTCGGCTGTGTGAGCGATCTCTTGATGAAATCGACACAAAACTTGTATTTTTTATGTTCCTTTTAAGTTGGTAATTTGAATATGTAATTGTAACCGAAGTAAAAAGTTTCATTTTATTTAAGATTTATTCAAATTCTTCAATTCAGATATATGCCCTGCATAATTTTTGATCGTAAGTGTTAAAAATTTCTCAAAATAAAAATATCCAAGTATCCTTGTATTATCTAAATGTGAAAAATCAATATTCTCAAACCATAAATGTTATATGTCTGCTCAAACTTCAGTATCTAATTTACAATTTCTTCCAAGCGCGAGTCTTCGCTCGCTTGGTATTAGAAAAAAATGTGCATTCTGGTGCCATTGCGAATAAAATTTGTCATACTGCTCGCGGAGTGAGACAATAACAAGAAATTATTGTAGGCTAGTTGGTAAGTCATTTCACGCGATATTCGGCAAGTTCATTATTAAACTTTGGCAGCGGCAAAACTTGCATTTGTTACGTAATAATAAGCTCCATCGGAGTTGCCCAAATACTGTATGTGTATATTGTATTTTGCGCATGTAGAGGACTGTATTCTTCCTATTTTAAAACACACAACACGCACTGCATGAAACTGATTGAAGGCAATTTTTTAGGGTATGTCATTAAATTCACCAAACATCCGGCGCGATCGACGTGTTGGCCGCCCCTGCATAAGAAAGCAGTAATGAGATGCGGGAAGTATAGTAGCATAAGTCTGTAGATAACCAATGTGTTTTCATTTATTTGTTAAATTAAAACCGATTTACTACGTTTTAACGAAAACTGTATTTCTACTCAACGTTGAACAGGTCGGTGTTAAGTTTGATTCTGGTGACGATAATAGTGTCAACGACATTCATTCCTACTTTGTATAATCTTGGAATTTCAAGCACATATGAGGTAGTTGTATAAACCTGTTATGAATTTGTGGATGCTTCTCAATTTATTTCAATCTATGGTTTGTTTGTTTTTGTGTATATTTATTAGCAGCAGTAGTATTTTATTAAGTAATGCAATGGATTTTGCATTGCTGTCGATTGCATGGATCAAATTGGAAAGTATGTTGTTTGAAATAAATGAAATGTGTTGTTCCAAACATTGATGATGGCTGCAGACAAGTAGGCCTATATTGAGGAAATCTACGTATTTTTCGTTGATGTTCTGTTGTGAAAAAACATTGTAAATAAACGAGATACACATCCCTAACAGCGGTTAAAACATGTCTAAGCTGTTGACATATACATGGTTTTGGCGGATTATCTTTCCCAGTTCCTATGTCTTAGTATTTAATATAACGCAATTAACTGTTTAGCGTATAGCTAAATCCGATTACACACTATCCAATTTAATTTACAATCTATCATTATATATACAATATTTTAGTTTCATACTGCTACAGGCTCGCAAAACATAGTGGATATTGAAAGCAAATTATATATACTAATTTATTAATCCAACAGTACTTGGAGAAACGATACAGTAAAAGCATGCGACTCATTACAACAGGGATATTCTTATTGCAATATTTTTTATACATCGGAATAAACATATATGGGCCATCGTTAGCACTCAGTGGAGGTAATATTTTACTAAAATTTTATATCAGTACTTTATAACTTTGATTTTTTTACAAATTTTAATCATGATTTATTGTCAGATCTAATATGATATTATAAATAGTTAAATATATGTTTCCCATGAGAGCATGCTTCTCACAACAATACACCCGTTTTCTGGCTTTTATAACTGAAATGTCCGCTACTCAGACTACTGTCTTCCATAACTTGGATCGCATTGTGTCGAAATCCTAATGCTAGCACACAGAAAAAAATGGAGAAAAACGCTACAACTGCCGATTTTTTTTTCTGTATTGTGATTCAGTACATTTTTCTTTTCAGTGACTGGGTTAAGTTTTCTATCGGCTATGTTGTCAACTGGATTAATCTGCACATTCTACACAACGCTGGTAAGTTTGATAAAGACGGAAGATGAAACCATGAGCGTTTGAAAAATGTGTGAACTCATGAATTATGTGGGATTGGATGTTATGTCGTCTCTATTCACTTTGTACTTAAATTTACTGGAAAATTTATATTAAAACTAATCTCTTAAGGCACCGAAAGTGATTTAGGATGAGATAGACAACTAAAAATAAGTCTAAATAAATATAGCTTTGCAAGTGTCGTATACTAGCTAGTTGGAATATTAAATTGAATAAGATTCGTCCATCTATATATTAACGGCGAATAAAAAATACTAACATGTAGTATATTTTTTAAAAAGGGTGGATTAAAAGGAGTAATATGGACAGATGTATTTCAAGGTTTTGTTATGTTTATTGGAATGCTGACATTTATTATTCGAGGTTGCTTTGTCATGGGTGGAATTAGCGAGGTTTGGAAGATTGCTGAAGCGGGAGGACGAACTGATATATTGAAGTAAGTCACAATCGCTGTCTAAAATTTCTCTTATCATGGAAGCGGTGTTTTGATTCAAAAAATAAGTAAAATTCAATTTCAATCTATGATTACCTATATTGATATGACGTACCTGTATCGGAAATATCGGACGGAAAGATTGATCAGTTTCGAACATAAGATAACAATCACTACATCAAATCGAGATTGAATTTTATTGTTTCAAATTTGATGATGCTCACAACCAGGAGATTGTAAATGATGTGAATACGTGTTTTTAAATTCCATATATCATCGGAAATATCAGAAATGCAACTATCGAAAGTTCGGTATCGGTAAAAAATATTGGTATTGAACTGATTCCATAACTGTATTACAATATATACACTGTATAAACCAAACAAGGGTTGACAATAATAATTTCTATGATGAAACAATATATCACAAAAAAAAAATTCGGTAAATTCCCAAATCCACGGACTTATTTTTGCTTGAAAACAGTTCACAGGTATTTTGAACTGTAATTTTTACCATATTTGTGATAACATATATACCATATTTTTTAATTAAATTAAACAAATTGGGTTTGACAAATTGGCCATTACAATGTATTTTTTAGTGAATTGAAACAATACAAAGTAAGAAAATAATCTTAATCGTGGTTTGGTTTTCTTTGCGAAATATTTGAAAAAAACGTAACACACGAACAGAGAAATTGTATCAAAAAGTAATCATGTTGTTGTTTTTCCTATTTTTAAAGGTTTGATGTAGATCCAAGAAAACGATATACAGTGTGGACAGTTGCTGTTGGTTCTATCATTCTTTGGATTGGAATTTTTGGAACAAATCAGACTCAAGTTCAAAGATATTTGAGTGTTAAATCGCAAAATAAAGCAAAAAAGTGAGAAAATAATATTTTCACATGAAATATAAAAATTGAATATACAAATGTCCCTATGTTAGATACGTGTCGCAAATTCCCTTTTTACTGGTTATTATTGTGCAATTATGTTAAACAGATCCTTATATTTGGGAGCAACAATTATTGCAATGTTCTCTACCTTAGCTGTGTTATGCGGACTTGTGAGCTATGCTTATTATCATCAATGCGATCCAATATCGGCAGGTTGCATCGATATAAGAGATGAGGTAAAGGTTTTATCTGAATCCGATTTTTTTGTGGTACACTATACGGAGGAGTTGAACTTATGCATACTTTACTTTTAAACAGCAGGCATGTTATCGATCAAGGTCTGTTTCCTCGATTTCTGAGCAGATTACAACTCAATGGCGTATGTTTGAAACCCAACGTCTTAATAATCCAAAAACGAGAGGAATCCTATGAAATAACTCTAAGAGCCCATCCGCCAAACTGTAGCTCATTTTTAACGAATTTATTATAATTTAAACGCCGATTGAAGCCGTTTGCTAGTTATTACGATATTATTATCCGGAATCAGTCACTTGAATCTTATTGTGAATAAAAGGGAAATATTTCCGACTCCGCTTTTTTTTTTCTTTACAAAATTATAAACTAAATATTGCTCTTACGGAAATTAACATTAGGCTATATTTCCAGTTGATGCCGTATGCAGTGATGGATTTGTTTCGTGGCATGCCCGGAGTTCCTGGATTATTTCTCGCCTCTGTATTTTCGGCTAGTTTGAGGTTTGCGATTCATTACCTGGTATTAATTAATAAAATCTAAGTTCATAATAATATATTATTGCGAACTTTTCGACACGCGAGATTTACTGTCAAGCATTGTACACTCTTATGGGATAACATTCAATAATTTTATACTATTAATTTGGGCTTGGTCAAATTTTTATTTTTTTTTTTTGAATACAAATGTTAGCGTATTTGCATTTTCAATTCAAAAAATTTGATGTATGATGATCTCATTTGCAGCACTGTATCATCAGGATTGAATGCAATGGTAACAGTAACTGTGGAAGATTTTGTCAAACCTCACACAAGATGGAGTGAACGGAAGTATACATGGTTCTCTAAAGGTAGTTAGTTTTCAATAAAGTATTTTTATGGTTTCAACAAATATTACCTATATATATGAAGATAAATTCGTACAGGTGTCATTTTGGAGTTTTCATGTAACATGGATGGTCGACGTGATGATGTTTATGTTTAGGTTGTTGAGTGTCTACATTAGCTCAAAATATGATAGTTGTATATTGTGATTGCCCAGAACACATATATTGTGAGATATTTACACCGTAGCCTAGAACAGTGTTCTTCAACCTTTTTTTTTTATCGTGGTATACCTTTTACAATTTTTCAAGAACTTTGTATACCTTACAAATACCAATGTTTATTTTAGGGCTTAAACAAACATTAAATTTTAAGCACATATTGTACTGCAATATCATTATGCAATCTAATAGGGCAGTGTCCGCAAGTTATAAATTTGACTGACGGCCTTAGCGTCAACGGGAATAATGTTCAACGTAAATCAAACGAAGTGCATGGCAGCCGAAATCACCAACCAACACACGTGACCGCATTATCTATATAATATGTTATGTAACCATGTGCTCACGTCGGTTCTTTGCGTGAATGAGATTTTATATTTCATGTGCGCCGCATTTGCATTGCTGTCTCCGCTTGAATATTTTATAATTTATCATATTAGAGTTTAGAATCCCTGATTCAGGCTGTACACCCTTTATTAGTTGTATACCCAACTTATGGTCCGGTATACACTTGGGTATACCGTATATCCGATTGAAGAGCACTGGCCTAGAAGTCTAAAAAATTATCCAGTTATTGGCAAAAAAATATTGCTTTTTAGGATCCCTAGAATATTTCCGGCATACGGCTCGCAATGTGTTACGTTCTAAGCAGCTGGGCTCACATCGAAATTTCTAACGATTCCAATGCTTCAAACACGATGAAATGGCATACAGTATTCTTAATTAAAATGAAATTGTTCATTCATTTTTTACAGCTTTGGGCATTATTTACGGTTGCATGGCACTGGGAATATCCTTCCTCGCATCAGTACTTGGGGACATAGTATCAGTCGGAATTGCAAGCGTCAGTGCCTTTCTCGGTCCAAATCTCGGAATATTTCTTCTCGGAATATGGTTTCCTTTTGCGAATAGTGTGGTAATTTGAATACAGTTTACAGCATGAATTATATAAATTCACTGATTATATATTCTAAATATTTATCATTGATTCAAAACATAACAGAAATATTGAATCACTCGTGAACGTTGATGTAGCCTATTTATGTTAAACCGATATATGGATAGCCTCATTACTACCTATGGTTTGTGACAATTTAAAACATGAAAACTAAGTATCAATTTTTTATATTTCAGGGAGCAATATGTGGGTTTGTAAGCGGCATAATCGTGACAATGACTTTATTTTTTGGTGGACGAAGTTTAAAAAAAACAAATTCACTCATCGGAATGCTTGATGTGGGATTATCACACTGTCCAGGTGATTGCGGGTACATGACTTTCAACAACGTATCCTACACATTTGAGGCAATGAATCCGGCTCTTACAACAGCTACATCGATGTATGAAGCTATATCACCCGCAAGCGAACCTGAAATTGATTTTACTCCGATGGAAAACTTTTTCGCGCTTTCGTATTTTTATACAGCATCAGTAGGGATGGTCGTTTCATTGGTTGTTGGAATTATTGCAAGTTTGATGTCATGTAAGTTTCCTTTTTGAAAATTTACTTTTCCAAATATTTCAATTATAACACTCCTTTGCAATCCGCCGCAACGACACATCTCTCATAATTTAAAGTTCGTACACTACATTTAGAACAAGTTCAAGTGAAATCGAGCCAGAACAGTATTCATATGCCTCAGCTGAGCAAAGAGCACACTATTCTTATGCTATCTTCGCTTTCCTACGCATTTTCTGGTCTTTACTTATCGCCGGATGAGAACAGAACAGGCCTAAGTCAAATTTTTGAGTTTTGAGAAAAACGCAAAAAACAATTTTGAATTTTGGTATTTTTGAATTTCTAGATATTCACACTCAGTAAAAACCTGAGCTCTGGGTATTTTTTTTTTTTTTTTATCCTCCATGAGGGACTTTTTCCCATTCTGTTTTCAACAACTTCTGAAATTTTTTTATGGGATGTAAGGTAAAACAATGTGACTTAGGCCTAAGTTGCACTGAACAAATTCTTGGGGATGTAAGTTTCGGACATTTTATTTCTAATGCCCATTCCATCATATTGGAACTCGGGCCTATTCTGTTCTTTAACTTCTACAAATTGTAGAAGAAGAATAGTAGAATAGTACAAATTGTAGAATATATTATAGCCCTAAGTCCAGCTATTTTTTTTATTATCGAGATATTCAACACCATTTTGTAGACTGTAGAGCATGGCTCAAAACTCCAAAATATTTAAAAAAGTGGAATTTCAAAAAATGTTACTTAGGCCCCTTCTGTTCCCATCGGGCGAATTGCATCGGATTAACTACTTACTACTCGGCAAATAACATGATACGGCAAATTACTTGTTATAAATTCTAGCATGTTTCTTTTAATTCAGGTGGTTGGCGTCAGAGACATACTGTTGATATTCAATTACTTCGTCCTCCATTTGAATCCAATTTCTTTTCTTGTATTCCCGACAATATTCGATCTTATCTACGTTGTGGAATATATTGGGAGGATCAGCAAAATTATTCTAAGAAAACGCACAGCATTGAACGAAGGGCACTCAACGATGATAATAAACTCGATGAAAAAGTATAACAGCGATATCCTAACTATATTTTGATCAATAATTTACAGTCGTGTCTTTATATTTTTTTCACCTTCTTCGATTCTTTTATAACATACCACGAGCATCACATGTATACATACTTTCATATATTCTGTCGTAATCTCTGCTCTTGTATTCGGCTTCTAACGTCTATGTGTATGATCTAAAAATAGATCGTTTAAATTAGAATGACCATTGACCGTCAGTAGAAATATCTGGACTGCAAAAGCGAATTAACCTGTTCCTTGAATGCTTCTTTTTTAATTGCTCTTTCCGTCATCATGTTATGACATAATCATTATTTTGATCTTAGTTTTTCAGACATTGCGTTTCCGCGTTTTAATTTTTTCTGGCAAATGATTGCATTAATAAAAATTTTCGATACATCTTCCCAAAAGATCTTCGGTATCTCTTTCGTGTTACAGCTGTGTGAACTTCATTTTATTAAAGTTTACCCTACACAGAGTACCCGGGCACCAAATACTCCATGAAAGACGTGTAGTCTACCATCAGTACGAGATATTAATTTTTTGTTGTGTTCGTGCTGCATTGTTAAAATATTGTATGTTGTCAAGTTAATACCCATAAATTCACAGGTAATATGATGGGAGAAAATAGTCAAAGAACATCTAGAAATCAATTATGGTGACAATTAAACTAGAAAATTCTCTCTGCCGGCACTCTTAGCCAGAAACAAACAAACAATACTACATGCAGTAGACTGATAAATCGTGAATAAATAGCTTACTTGGCGTTGTGTACTCACTGTAACTTCCCTTTTAACGTGACCCGGTAGCACAAAGTGTCACACAGAGAAAACTAACAAATCGAAAACGCATCTCCCAAATCCTTGTCCAAACACAACCAATTCTTGAAAACTTGTGAGGAAAATTGTACTTCGACGAATTGATAACATAAGATGAAATTCTCAGCAATACACAAACATCAGGAATGACAGAATGAGAAGTGAAATTTGTTTAGGACTGAGGAATGGTTTCTAAAACAAAATAATATGTCTTAGAACACTTATAACTAAATAATACCAAATTCAGTTACTAACTAATTTAGATGTCTGAGTCATCTAAAACAGGGCTACTCAACTATTTTTATCGAAGGTCCGCAAACAAAACTTCAAAATTATTTGGGTCCGGTCTTTCCAGAAATTATATTTCGGCATCCTTAAACGAGCACTTCCTCGACCGACTAATGATTAGTAGCAAATTAAAATTGTTTACTATGGTTTTATAGTTCTTTTCGTATATATTCAAAACTATGAAAGTCATTTTATAATAGGAAATTCAAAAAGTGGGGCTAATGATCCAAAATAAATAATTAGGTGCGGTCCAAATCCAATACTCGAAAGGTCCGGATTCGGACCGCGGTCCGCCAGTTGAGTAGCCCTGATTTAAAATATAAACAGCAATACGCAAATCACAATAACACCAACACAAAGAAACTTGGCTTGGCAGCAAAACAGCAGCAAAGTATGATGCAATATCCATTAATGGCGGCAAACTCGACTCGATAGCGCCTACATGCGGCATTAATATTATTGCCAAACAATTATACTTGGATCTTGTGGATCGTGACGTAACATTCACAAGTTGAGATAATGCTAACTTGACTCATATGCTCATTGCTTGACTGAATTATTTAGCAATATTTATTCATAACTAAGAATTGCGAAAGGCTGCTCAAAAGACAGAAATCAAATTCAGAAATCTTTCTGAACCTGATGAATGCAGACGTTTTGCTGAATCCAGACGCCACACTCACGGTAAACTGAATCACATCGTCAACTAGCGAAAGAAGAAAACTATATTACATAATACCAGCGACGTTAAAGGCGGGTATTGACTCCGCCACTCTCCTTGCTAATCTAATGAAAGACAAATATATAAATCAACAAGAAACTTTATAGCAATAACCCTCATGAGTTTACCCTAATTTCGGAGTTTTACCCCCATTTTATATTAAAAATACGAAAACAAAGTTAATTTCCCCCAAAATTCAAACAAAGACTTTCGTGGGAATCAAATCACACCACTTTTAGGAACATAACGAGTTTTGTCCGGCCATTATCAAATTGAAATTTATTTCATCACGATATTCAAACACTAATATGTAAGTTCCCATAAGTACGATGTTCATAATTACCCGTATTGAGATAATCGGAGTTTCTGTTTAGAACGTGAATCACGAGCTCACGTTTACAGTATTTAATTAGATTTATGATCAGCGTATAAATACGACTCGATATCTTTCAATGTTAAGCTAGTCTGGATAAATGTTCTAAGATTTGTATTCTGTGTATTGTGGAAATCTGAGAATAAAATCAAACTGAGTTTTCTAACGAATTTTCATTCACGTGGGCGTTGACGGCTGCCGTATATATATGACTGATTTTTTACTGGTGGGAAAAAATAACTTGACTTGAACACGCAGACCAAAACGAAGAAAGTCTTTACAGTACCGATAGTAACTAGTACAACTACCATAACACAACATTATAACAGAAAAATAGTAAAACTTGCAGTGGGGCACAACTAGGGTAATTAAGAGCTCCGAGCGGGACTACCTAGCGGGACTAGGACTATTTGAAAAAAAACAGCTTGTTTTAAAACAAGGGCTTGTTTGAAAACAATTTTTTTTTTGTATTTCTTATTCTTGTCCATTAACATTATAGGCTTAATAAAAATAAATGAAATATATTATGTTTTGTTAAACAAACACTTGTTTTGAATCAATCCCATGCAGGAATACCTCGTTTTAAATCTTACTAAAGAGGTCCTGAACACGTGTATTATCGCTTATCAGTGTTTTGTACATATTAGGTGTGCATTTAGCAAATCAATAACGCAAGAAATATAAAACGGCCCAGTTTCCTAATAGCAACGAACACATACGTTTGAATGTTTTCTTTTTAATTGATTATTGTGCTGTATGTTTGTATATGATCATTCAGTATATCTGATGTTTAAAAGATTAGTCCGTCGCCTACAGACCAAAAATCTTACAAAATTTCTCAAATTTAATGTGATGATTATAAGTCATCTTTAAGTTAACTGGATACGCAAAGTAAAAATTTGGAATTTGGAGAATATAGAGTCAACAAAAGACCGCAGTGTAGTCGTAGCGCAATCAGATAAATAGTTTGATATATTAGAATATTTTCCAATATTGGCGTACTAAGCACTGTGAATACGTATTGGACTAATACTAATTTTATGAACGGGTTCACTTTTGTTCCTTAACTTGCTAACAACAGGCTACCCCATGTGAGAAAATCCATGCATCGACAGTCCTGTAGTTTGAAGTTCTTATTTCGTTCGCTGTCTCGTCGTCATTGTAAGATGATATTTATGACGTTTTTCTTGCATCCGACGTGCCGCTCGCCGTTCTCTCTCTCGCGTGCAGTCAATTTGAGTATTGAGTTTCCTGGCGCCCCTCTAAGCTGAGTAAAGTGTTTGGGATTGCATTTTATGTTATGGCGATGTAGTTCAATATAATTCAGTTGTATCGTTCATAGCGTCCCTTTTACTTTATTTCCAATTATTCGATAGAAAATTATAATACTTGCATGCCTACAGCTCGTATTATATTCTGTAATATTTATTTGGCGCGAGTTATTTCATTTGTATTTTAGCCAAGCGTTCTGAATATTTTTCATATTATAATATAACATGGTCATTTTTAACGTCTAGACTCTAGAAGACTATAACTGTAAAGGCGTTTTGACTGCGAATTGGGCGGCGTTATATGTCAGATTGGGCAATTTAGGGGCGCTGACAACATATCGGACAGTTACGAAAATTGTACTGCTATTTGTCATTCATATTTACTCCAGTGTTATGTTTGGGTTTGACCTAGTTTGTGAGCTATATCGTTGTTGGGAATTTCTCGCTCAACGTAATATATTACAAATTTATGGCTATTGTTTTGTAATAATACTAGTATATATTGTGGGTTACGTTTATTGACGTTCAATTCATCGTAGCCCATCATATACTGCTCAGCGTGTTTCGTTGTTCGAAGCGAAAATGTAGGCAATAGTGTAGAAGTTACCTCCAATATGAATTCATTCCTTCCCCAAATTCTTATTTGCGACCGATCTGTTTGCTGTGTAACAAAATGTTTTCTAAATAATTGATGTAACCGTCCAGACTTTCTCCGCATTTAATCGAAATTCATACTAATGAGGCAGGCAAAAATGTTACATTGGAACAATTCAGTACGGCAAAAAAACGTTGGTACTGTGCTCTCAAACTTATCGCTGAAAAGCGATCATGGTTTACTTGCAGTAATTGTGTTTTTGTTAATAGCAAGAAAAGGCAAGCCGCATACGATTGGCGAAAAATTAAACCTATCATCTGTGAAGAAAGTTCTGAATACTGTTTTGCATGTAAGCTTCTTCTGTAGTTGTCAAGTATATATATTCAATTTATCAATAATACTAAACAGAAATACACTGCTGATATAGCGACCAGGAAGTGAGTCACTACTACTCGAATATGTTCGTTTTGTGCACGATGGAGATAGCAATGGTGCAACTGATGGCGCCCCATCTATGATTGTCCGATACCGTTGGTTCATTGCACACCTTAAAGAAGCAAACTCAAATATGCTGGCGGTGCACTGTGTAATCCATTAGAAACATGTGGTGGCCAAAAATACTAGCGGTCATCTTCTTTTTTGACTATAGCCATCAAGGCGGTAAACAAAATAAAATCCCGCGAGCTTAGCACTGGGTTATTTAAACTCTTGTGCAACGAGAAAGATGGAGCATTTTAGCACTTCAAAGTCCGCACCGAAGTAAGATGGCTTTCTATGGGGGAACTGCCATACAAGATTTACTCGATTTTTTGTACTATTGTTGAATTTATACAAAATCCGAGTCTGGCGGAAGATGTTATAGTCGTAATCAATAATATCATTTACTTGGCAGACACATTCTCCAAATTTAATCAACTTACTTTTTCAGGGAGACAAAATGAATCTGATAAAAATGATAGCGGCACCGTCTGCGTGGCATGAGCGAAACTGAACTCTCAGTTCCCGCACCGTCTGCGTGGCATGAGCGAAACTGAACTTTCAGTTCCCGTAAATACCACCTAATTGATTTAGATGAGATTTACATCCTTCTCTCAAACCCATAGGAGGTATAATTAAATAATGCGTTTGCTACTGAAATCAAGCCAGACATATGTATACGGGTTCACTTAATTTGAGAACCTCAGTGGAACATATCTAGATAGCAAGTTCTAAAATATTTTCTATACAGTTAATATACAAGATCTGTGTATTAAATATTATGGCAAACAACTCAGCAAAAGAGGTGTTGTCAGGGATTGATTATGCTGTTTTCATCGGAATGCTCGCAATATCTGCATTAATTGGAGTATTCTACGCATATCGAGACAGAAAATCTAAGGACGGAACCAGGGGGTACCTGATGGCGAACAGGTATGACTGCTATTATTTATTGCTTGAAACTTATTAAATGATGTTATAAATATTGACAATATAATGGAAATCAATCGTGGGATTACATCCAGATTATTGAGTAGCCCCATAAGTTTTGAAAACAAGATAAAATAGAATTTCAAATTTGCCAGCATAAAGAATTTCAAAGGTTTTTATCGAATATTTTGCTACTGAATATGGAAAAGAATATTATTTTTCGTATTCAAGTTCTATTACGAGTTCGGGACAAGCCAAGTGACTGTCGTGGTATTTGTACCTAAAATTATGGCCTAACCTGGTACACATGCGACGTTCCGGTGTCCACCTTGGTGCACATTCTGGAGTACCGAATACAAAGCAAATAGCATTGACTGTTGAACCACCTGGGGCTTTCCGTGTAACATAACCATTGCTTCACTTTAGATCGATGGGTGTTTTTCCAGTGGCGTTATCAATCGGAGTCAGCTTTCAATCGGCTGTAACTGTTCTTGGAATCCCAGCCGATGTTTATCAATTTGGTATGATGTATATTTGGTAAGTTTGTATATCTTTTGTGTATAGAATTTTAAGAATTAGACTACGATCAAAAATTCAACTCAGCTTGATTCGGTATTGAACAGTTTTAATATATATAATACCGCTTGAATTGATCCAGACTTGTTTTGTATAAAATGATATTTGGCATGTGTTGTGGATGTATTCTATAAGTCTTTTGCAATAGAGTATTTTCGAATCAGAATATATTGTAGTCAGTTCTAAATAATATTAGCGTCATTGTTTACAGGTTGGTATTGAGTTTGGTTCTGGTGACGATAATAGTGTCAACTGCATTCATTCCTACGTTGTATAATCTTGGAATTTCAAGTACATATGAGGTAATTGTAATATTTTATTAAGAGTGCTAAGTATGGTATGTATGAATTCCTATCTCGCAACTAATGGAAACAGCGAGAAATTTTTGTCAGTGTATACCTGCCGACGCAACAATTTTAATGTTAGTATTCGCTCAGACACTTTGAATCATTGCTTTTTGTACTATTTCTCAGATTTTAGTTATGTTTCTAAAATATATGTGGTAATTAAGTAACTAAATGGTTATTTTTGTCATCGAAAGAGTTTCAGTTCAATCGCGGTAATCATAAAACGGTTACGAAAAAAATGGGATATACTAGGATAAAAATGGCTGTCATTTCTTTTTTAGCTGTAATTGTTCAAAAAATTTTGAAACAAAACAAGCTATGATTCGTTAAAATAAGCATAACAAATTTGCACTGGTGAAACATGGGAAAAATTTTCATGAAGTCGTCACAGATCGGGTCGTGTTTTTTCTATTTTGTTTGAATTACCTTTCCATTCACAGTACTTGGAGAAAAGATACAGTAAAAGCATGCGACTCATCACAACAGGCACGTTCATAGTGCAATATTTTTTATTTCTCGGAGTGAACATATACGGACCATCGTTAGCGCTTAGGGGAGGTAAAATTTCTTTATCATGGAAAGATTTTAATTAGCATAACTCGCTGATATGTATTAATATTATTATTATTGTGAATGGCCACATAAAACAACAAGTGTATTTAATATTTTTATGATTGTGGCCAGTAACAAAATCCAGACCATTGAAATCGACTAACAAAAACTTCTTTGATTTGAGACGTTAACTTCAACGAGTGTATCAACTATGCTTGTATATTTCAGTTACTGGATTGAGTTCCATATCGGCTATGTTGTCAACTGGATTGATCTGCACACTGTACACTACACTGGTATATGCACTCTATTTTCTTGAAGTAGGGTTCTCCATCGTTTCTTTCTGCAGATTAATCATATAAATTTTCCAACCCAGTAATAATATTTACAGCATATTCGTGTGCCTCTTCAAGTTTCATTCAGATTTCCCCAAATATTGTGAAATAAACTGAAAATATTCAATTTTTAAATAAATTATTGCTAAAATCTTGGTATTTGCGTTTGCATTTTGACTTTGAAAATATACTTTATTTATAAAAATAGCAGACTGTACTATTATGCAGTATTTTCAAAGGGTGGATTGAAAGGAGTAATATGGACAGATGTATTGCAAGGTGCTTTTATGATGGTTGGAATGCTGACGTTTATTATTCGAGGTTGCTTTGTCATGGGTGGAATTACCGAGGTCTGGAACATTGCTGAAGCTGGAGGACGAACTGATATATTGAAGTAAGAAAGTTTAGAATACACAGGCTTGTCCATGGGACATATTTTTCTGTCCTATTCCCATCCCATAGCAATTATGCCTGTCCCGTCCCATTCCATGGGATTCCCATTGGAATAAAATTCAATAAAACTTGTTAAATTCAGGTTTAGCGTCTACTAAATAGGACTACATGTACGAATAGACATGCAAAACAACAAAATTCACGGACTTTGTTAACTTCATATTCATAAATATTATAAATGTGTCCGTCATCCCCTTCACGAACTATATTGTTAAGAAGAGAGATATGCTCAAATATATGGATAAGAAGTCCATACCGAAATGTTTTATCACCATTTCCCCGAAAAACATACGGTTTTCGTGTCCCATGGGAAATATAAATTTGTGCTGTCCCATGGTCCCATCCCATCCCATGGGACGTTTCCCATGGACAAGCCTGAGAATACAAGTAAGACGCTCAATTCGGAAATTTGCTTGGATTGTTTTTCAAATGCACAAGCATCAAATTGGAGATGGTTTTCAGCAAATTTCAAAATGTTGCTCCTTCGGCATAGATGCTGAAACTTTACCTAAATGTTCGCAAGATTCAAATAAAACTAAATCACAAATAATTACTTGGGTGGGTGTTTGGACAGTTCGATGCTTTTTGAATTCGTTTAAAATTTTGCTCGAATTGCTATGTCAAGTTTTTTTTTTAAATCTATAGATTCGACCTAGACCCAAGAAAACGATACACTGTTTGGACAGTCGCTGTTGGATCGTTTATTATTTGGATCGGGATTTTGGGAACAAATCAAGCTCAAGTTCAAAGATATCTGAGTGTGAAATCTGAAAACAAAGCAAAGAAGTGAGTAATTATCACAGATATAAAATACGAGCACTAAATCTTTACCGTTTCAAAATAAACGGAGTATTTTTCCTGGGTAACAAATAGTGTCATAAAACTGAATATAAATTAGTAAAATTGTGGTATTACCATCATTCAGTCTTCAATGATGTATTTCACATCTTCTACACAAGCGAGACCCCATCCAAGCATACACTGTCATTAAGAGTTTAGACTTTAGAGAACAACTGATTTTGGAATAAAAATCGGAATCTTCTCAGCAGTACAACAAATACCTAACCACATTCAGTACATACAGACTGAAGTTGTTGTCCATTTTCAAATTCTACTTATTCATGAGCGAAATACAAGAGCGTGAAAGAGGTTTTGATATTGAACAATGTAATCATTTTTTTTGAAGATTAAATATTTTTGAAGATTTTATACCGATTATTACTATATATCCTACTATGTTTACAGGTCCTTGTACCTGGGAGTCACAGTGGTTTCGATGTTCGCTACCCTAGCAGTTCTATGCGGACTTGTGTGTTATGCATATTATCATCAATGTGATCCAATATTAACAAATTGCATCGACAAAAGGGATCAGGTAAACGAATGATATATATTCAAATAAAGTAGACATAAACAAAGAAATGTTCGGTTTTACAAATACCATTTTCGGGAAACAAAACTGAACGTAGGCTACAGTTCAGGGGCTCCTTAAGTTTCCATGCAAATCCGAAAGTCCATATTAACATAATTATGTATGTTGATTGAATATATTCAAATACCTATTAGGTTTGTCAGTTTGTCACTATTGTTGAACTTGCTACAATGGTCTGGCTTTGATATATATATATATATTTATAGTTTATACAGTTTAAAAAATAAAGGACAAATAAACTATTTGACTGGGGTCCCTCGATCATCTAGAATGTTTTATTGGGGTCCCGCTTACCCTACAAGGTTGAAACCACTGGAGTAGAGGATAGTGGTTTTGTTTTTAATTTACTATAAATTTCAGACTGCACTGATATAATAAGACGGTGTTAACAATTAAGAGAGTTCAAGACTTCAGGCCAAAGTCCACTCAATTATTTAATGCGACACTGTCAGCTTAGTTTCATTTTAATGTTTCCGGTCTAGGTATCAGTATATGCAATGACCCAACTCTATCATTAAATGTTGCTAATATTATCTGTACTTCATTCTATGGGTCTATTTTTTCAAATTAGTCTCTATGCCCATTGTCGTGATATTTTACATACGGTGTAGTCAGAAGCAAACATACTCGACAAAATCTAATCTAATAGGTTTTATTACCATAGTTCTGTAGACTTTTTAATCTTTATCTATCGCGTTGACTTTTAATAATTTTTCATATCTCTCTTTATTTTGCCTGTTTACCGGAAGAAAACAAAGGCTAGTTGTACAAAAACTTCAATTCATTAATTTCCTAAATTTTTAAGAATATTTTTAGTTGATGCCGTACGCCGTGATGGATTTGTTTCGAGATATGCCTGGTGTTCCTGGATTATTTCTTGCCTGCGTATTTTCAGCTAGTTTAAGGTTTGTTACTACGTTCATGTACATAAGAGGAGTACAAAAATGTTCATTTTTTATCTTATTCCAACCGGAGTGCAAATATAGAAGCAACATAGCCTAGTTAAAATTAATTTAACTCCCAATATATATAACAATATGTAACTGCTTTTTAGTACTGTATCTTCTGGATTGAACGCTATGGTAACCGTCACTATAGAAGATTTTGTTAAACCCCATACAAGATGGAGTGAACGAAGATATACATGGTTTTCGAAAGGTACGTTATTTGGGAAAAAGAATAAAAAATGAAACAAAGATATTGTTTGCAGTTATTTAAAGTTCAAAGTGTTTATGGCAATGAAGATGCTACTGATTATTTTAAACAATGTCACTACGTCTTTTCAAATATACAAACTTGTTATCAACAATGAAAATCTCTTTAATATTACATTTATTTTAGGATTGGGTGTTGCTTATGGCTGCATTACACTCGGAATATCATTTCTCGCATCTGTTCTTGGAGACATCGCGTCGATTGGTATTGCAAGCCTCAGTGCCTTCCTCGGTCCGAGTGTTGGAATATTTATTCTTGGACTGTGGTTTCCGTTCGTCAATAGCACGGTAATCAAACTAATGTTTAAATTAACATTTTAGCAAAACAATGTATAGGTCCACTTTTACCAATTGAAATGAGGTTTGGTTGGTATTCAATCAATTCCAGTTATTCAATCAATTTCCCAATTATCAGCAATGTTATGTGTTTATTGAAAATGTCTATGCCAACAACAAATGCAACAACCCGCATCATTTCCCTGCGACATAACGATTTTTTTTTCTTTTCAGGGCGCAATATTTGGTTTCACAAGTGGCATAATCGCAACAGTGACTTTATTTTTTGGCGGTCGAAATTTGAAAAAACCGAACTCACTCGTCGGAATGCTTGATGTTGGATTGTCAAATTGCCCGAATGATTGCGGGTACATGACTTTTAACAACCAATCCTACGTTCATGGGATAGCACAGACTACAGAGGCCTCCTATTTTTATCGAGATACATCAACAACAAGCGAACCAGAAATCGAATTCACAGCGATGGAAAACTTTTTTGCCATCTCTTATTTTTACACAGCATCAGTGGGGCTGGCTGTTTGCTTGGTTATCGGAATTATCACAAGCTTATTGTCGTGTAAGTTCCATTTTCTTACGTTAATATGCGCTATTTCTGATTATAAGATTGTCAATAGAGCTCATTTATTGCAAATAAAAAACTCCCGACTTCCCAGAAATTGTGTCATAGAATAGCAAAATTATATTTTCGATCTTGCAATGCATGCAAATTTTTTTCTAATCGATAATCTAGGACAGTGTTTCCCAACCTATGGGTCGCCTGAAAATTTTCTAGATTCGCTTGTTTTCTCAACATAAACTTGAAAGTTGCTGTTTTTATTTTCTAGTTTATTTTATGTTTGTTTTAAAGTGTTTACTCAATAGTAACTGTATATGTTGGAAGTATCACAGCGTAAAAACTTGGCATCTGCTGTGTTGCTGTGTTAAGTAAAGCCAAGCCACGATTTCAAAAACTTCATTATGGCAAATAACCTTAAGTAAATCTTTGGGAAAATAAATTTCATATAAACATGATTGTTTTATATCGGTCAGTTAATTTTGTGACATTATAGGAGATAATAATTACACACTGCCTATAGTATTCGAGCATATCTTTGAGATTTTACAAAATTAATTTTTTTTTAAATTTGTGTTGCTTGAAAAAAAGATCGAGAACCCCCCGAACCACCGACCTAGGAAATATATGGCTCTGGCTTCTAGATCTCTATTGAATTATATCGATTTTCGCTAAAACCTTGATGAATGTAATAGATATATTATAAAAAAAAATAGGTACTCCTGGTCCTGAGGTATGCACACCAAGATGTCGCACAACCTGAAACCTAACCTGGTACACAACCTGAATTCAGATTGTGCGCCATCTTGGTGCGCATACTTCAGGAGGTCCAAAAAATGTATAGTTAACAAACGCGGTGATCAGTCACTAAACAGCGAAGTTACACTAATTGCAGTCTCGGAAATATCGCTTTATATTTTAGGTGGTTGGAGTCAAAGACACACGGTTGATATTCATTTGCTGCGTCCTCCTTTCGAAGCTGGTTTATTCTCCTGGATTCCTGACAAAATTCGATCTTATTTACGTTGTGGAATATATTGGGAAGATCGCAAAAAGCAACCAAGAGGTATTTATAGCGTTGGAGGTGAAGAATCGAAAGATGAGATCCATGCCGACAAAGTATAGAAATACTAATCAACAATCAATAAATTTATGTCGTTGTCCCTGCGAAGACGTCCCTACTACCCACGTATAGGATCCAAGCCTATTTTGTGGGAATTATCTCATTGCACTTCAGTCACACGGACCCTAGATGCGAGTGATTCAACGGACACATCTCACAGTATTGCAAACTAGTTGTAGAATATTCATCATCACACAAACGCGATGCATCTTCGATTCTGGACAAGAAGCGGACCTATATAAATCGTTTTGCAAAATACTTGCTGTTGTTGAAAGAATTGCTTTTTTTTGCAACTAATACCCAACCGATTTCATATTTTTATTATGTTACTTGAAAAGATGGAAGAAATCGCTGGAAGACTATTATTCTCATTTTTTATTTATTTTTTAAATTTGGGAAATTGTATGGGTCGCGTATGGTGGCCCATCGTTGTCACGCGTAAAATTGAAAATAAAAATAAGAAATAAAATAAAAAACCGATAATAAAAAAATTTTAGTGAAAAAAACATAAAAATAATTAAAAAAAAAATTAAAAAAAAAAAATTAAAATTAAAAAAAAAAATAAATAAATGAAAACGAGAAAAAAAAAAAAAATCGAATAAAAAGAAAATAAAAAGGTTGACAACGATGGTCCGCCTCGTGGCCCATCGTTGTCACGCGTTTTTATTTTTAGAAAATTTGCTTCTGCTTGGGACCAACGTTGTCAGGCATAATCCTACGCGCACAAATGTGTTCCCTGGGTTTCAAACTCACTACTGATTTTCTTGAGCAATATTCAATATGAAAATGTTCTATAAATTCTCCATGCTACAAGTTCAACAAGAAGTAATATATTTATAATAATGATAAGAGAATATAGAATTGAATACGAAAATTCGGAAAATTTGTTTTTACGTGTATAAGGTAATTTGGAGAATGCTGCTTAACTACTCAGTTGTCTGGACACTCGCGATGCCGGTACCGTACCGTCTTACCAAATACCGGTAGTCGGTTATAGTCGCTTTGCGTCTGACCGTACCGGTAGCCATACAATCACTCATCATCTCCCATTCTTTCACGAGTGATTGCATGGGTACCGGTACGGTCAGACGATACCGTACCGGCATCGCACGAGTGTCTGAGCAGTTAAGCAGCATTTTCCAATTAAATCACCTTCTACACGTAAAAACAAATTTTCGTATCCAATTCTATATTCTCTTATCCTTATTATAAATATATTGCTTGTGGTTGAACTTGTAGCATGGAGAATTTGTAGAACATTTTCATGTTGAATTTATTGGATATTGGTCATGAAAATCAGTAATGAGTTAGAAACCCAGGAAACACATTTGTGCGTGTAGGATTAAGTCTGACAACGTTGGTCCCAAGCAGCATCAAATTTTCTAAAAATAAAATCGCGTGACAACGATGGGCCACGAGGCGGACCATCGTTGTCAACCTTTTTATTTTCTTTTTATCCAATTTTTTTTTTCAAATTTTTTTTTTTTTTCAATTTTTTTTTTTAATTTCAATTTTTTTTTTAATTTTTTTGTTTGTTTTATTTTTCAATTTTTTTTTTTAATTTAAATTTTTTTTTATTTCTTATTTTTCAATTATTTTTATGTTTTTTCACAACTATTTTTTTATTTTCGCTTTTTCATTTTATTTTTTCATTTTTTTTTTAAATTTTACACGTGACAACGATGGGCCACCATAGTCGCGATATATTACCGAAACTTTTGTTGTTTTATTTCAATTAACTGGTGACGCTTTTATTCGGTATGCTTGTGCACTGGGTCTCACCATACCTATATCACCGATCCGCGTGTCTATGCTCTCGTTATATTATATATATACTCATAAATACTCGTATTCATGTTTTCTGTCCCACTACAATACAAGTTACAATATTTGGGCATAGTCGATACTTATGTTTTGATATTGGGAATTTGATGGAGTGATATATATATATATATATATATTTGTTTATATACTTACAACATAGGCTGATTGTGCATTCGAAAATGCGTTAAGTCATATCGTGTTACAGCGCTTTTACAACAGAACTTAACTTATTACAGGTTACCAACACAACAAACTCAATATTAGTTGTATTTTTCTGCATAGTCATCAAAGTTTGGAAAGCTGTCATATTAGGCCTAGGCAGAAAGCAAACAAAACTAGAGTTAGAAGAGCAAGTAAACATACCATCGTAAATGCAAAAGGCTAATGCAAATCATGCGGAAGCACGTGTATCCGTAGTTACCAAGTTGCCAATGCGAAAACTTTGCCTTTCCCCCGCCTACAAAAAAAGAATTGAAAAATTCGAATTAGGAACTTCATGTTTTCTTCAGGTGAACTAATTCATAAAGACAAACACCATTATTCTTTTAGTTCTACAACACTTTCTCGAATCGTTCAAAACGAACAACTACTTTTAATTAAGAGCGATTTTACTAACATTGAAGGTATATCACGCCAAATTATGTATCATGAATGATTCAATTTCAAGTCGACCAGATTTGAATCTAAAACTACTCCATCTAATGAAAACAAAGCTAGCTCACATATCAGGCTTCGAAGGAGAATGGCGCATTTTGTGTCTAATTTTTATGATTCATTAAATGAAAAATGAAAGTGAATACGAGAAAAGCACACCGAAAAATGACAAAACCCGTTCAACTTGTCTATCAGAAAAATAACAATTCAATTTAATACGTAGGATATTGTCAAGATTTATTTTTCATGCAGGATTGAATTCATTTCGGTGGTTTGAGAGCTATTTTCTGCTTATAGCTGCTCACGGTCAGTATTTAGCTTTTCTCAACGTAAATTTGAATAATGGGGGACAATTGAGAGTAAGTTATAAATACGAATTATGAGCTTTTATGTATTGCACGCCTCAATATCTCCTAACGTATAAAGCTGGTTTATAGTTATCAATAACAAACGAGTTGTTTGCAGCTGTTGAATATTTTTAGCCTTTTCGTCCTTTTTAGACTGGGGCACTCTCTCGTATATCAGCCTCGCAATCTAGGACTAACTAGCTGTTCAGTTATCGGCTCACTTTTCTTGCAAAGGCTATCTTCTTGATCGTTATTTTTTCTCACTTTGTTTTTATTTCCTATAAATTTATTGAACCTTCTTGAATCCTTCTTGGTTGGGTGATTTTAAAAGACACGCCCCGGGACGATAATACCACGCTTCGGCATTTCTGAAAAACTACACGGTGAGCGAAGAAGCAATGATGTTTATAAGCATCTTAATATTATATCAAAAAAATGATTAAAAACAATAAACAAATCAGGTGAGCTATGTAAGAATCAATAGTGAACTGAGTTTAGATATCCGAATAGTATATAGCCTAATTGATGAGAATAACTAATGCCATTGCAGAATTGATAGAATACATGAATAATATGCTGGTTTTCTGAAAATTTTTACCAGCGAATTTTCTATGAATGCGGTACGTGTTGTAGTATATATGATATTACGACCGAGGCCGCAAATAGTTGAGTCAGGTTACATACAACAACTCCTTCAGGCCACTTCAACTCACTTGGGTAGAACAGGCAGTGTGATTTAGCGACTTTTCTGTAACGTTACTTCGTATTGTGTTGAAATAGTCAAAATTAACATCTTAATTCAACTTAGAAAACGTATTTAGTACCTAAAGTAGACGAGTTAAGATATCTATAGTTCTACTACTATCTATAGTTCTAACAATTTCTTGCGATCGGTGTGTAGAATGCACTTTAATATGTTACAAACAAGATCATTTCTGTGAATGTTCGGCAGAACTGCACAGTGATGAGGATCGTTATGATTTTAAACCAGAACTACAATTTGAATTTATTTCATTTGGATCAAAAAATTGTATAACCTGATCAACTAAAATCCGCTGTGTGAATTCCGTTTTAAAGGTTGAATACGTTAAAATTATACTTAACCATGACTAACCAAGCCAAACACAGCTTACAACACGTAATTTTGTCTCACAATAACACTAAAAAATGCTCATTTCCTCGCTACACTCCATTTGTTTACAAACAGAACATTGTTTACACCATTTAGTGCGGATAACTCAACAGAAACCTTAGGAATATTCAGCCTGAAAAAATAGTGACTGTATTATCGTGAAATATGGGGTATCGAAATGCCGTAATAAGGCGATGGATGACCTTAGAATTATGTCAGTCGTATAATGTAAGGCTTTTATTGAACGTTAAACGTTGAGACAAATGTCAGAATCAGGCCAATAGAAGTTTTTCTAGTGGACTTATATACTTTATGTACACTTTTATTTATGTTAAAACAGAGTAGTGTTAGAATGGCTGTACCACAGCGAGATCTTATATTTGGAGCGGGTGATTATGCAGTGTTTGCTGTCATGTTAGCAGTATCTTTGGCAATCGGGATATACTATGGAATAAGAGACCGTGGTGCAAAGAATGGTGTTCAAACATATCTCATGGGCGGAAGGTATGTAATTTCCTATTTTTTTATGAAAAGGGTATATATACCCAAAATAATTCAATAAATTGTTACGCGAATGACAGAAACTGTTTTTCACTTTTTATCGTTCAGACAGATGCATTTTGCTGCTGTTGGAATGTCCATAAGTTTTTCGTTTATTTCTGCTGTAACCATTCTCGGTATACCTTCAGAAATCTACATTTTTGGTTCAATGTACGTTTGGTAAGTACAATTCTAAGTTTTCCGCACAAAATTGAAGAAAGCTATACTTTTAAAAATGTTCTACACACATTGATGCCAAGCGTATTGTCCTCGACTGGATTTACTGCGCACTGTTGTCTTTTCAATGTTGCTATTTTATAGATGGGTGATTTACCCAAAGCGAAGTCACGTGAACTCACCTGAAATCGGAGCAGAATTATAATCAGAAGCTACGACTGATCACTAAAACTTTAATAGCTACTACTATATAAATTATAGATAGATTCGTGGTAATACCTTATGGGGCCATTTGTAACGCAGTAACCAAAACGAAATATTCGTTTCTATCTCTTGCATTTCTTATACGCCATTCGTTATGTGAACGTTTGTAACCTTGCTTAGGGAAATGATGATAATAATATTATTTAAACCCCGTCCCACGGTCTCAGCTACAATTTTTTCGGCTTACGATTTACAGAAGTTTAATGATGCGTATTGTATTTTTAGGTTGTTGGCTTGTTTACCAATAGTTCTACTTATCACAACAGAAATTTACATTCCGTTATATTTTCGGCTGAATATTACGAGCACATATGAGGTAGGAAATAATATATTTATATTCTTGAATGAACATCGTACATGCAACAAAGAACTGCAATTAACGACGGTTTTGAATAGATATTGAATTATCAGCTTGGATTATTTTTTTCATGTACAAACATTATTAAGTATATTTTTGTTAAAACAATACATTTTTGACAGTATTTACAGCTACGTTTCAACTATGCAGTCCGTATTCTTGGAACATTGGCATACATTGCACAAACGGTATTATATATCGGTGTCATGATTTATGCGCCATCACTGGCATTTTCACAAGGTATATATTTAGCTTAATTTTTTACATAGCGAATCCTCTTAACTTAGCCACCAACACCCACAACTATCTGGCCTCAATTTCTCAAAGCAGGCGGATAAAATTTCAACCGGGATAAACGTGATGGAAGTAACGCACGACTAAGCAGGAATAAATAAATAGATATTTAACGACAAGAACAGGCGACGTTCTAATACTGGTCAGCCAGGGAATAAATGAAACGGGTGAATAAGCTTCGTTAAAAACTCGGTATAATTTTAGCAACAGCCTGTCACTGCTAACAATGGTTTCCATAATTGATCAAGCCGTGCACTAAAAAGGTGATATGTAAGCACACTACAGTTTGATTTAAAAATACCGTTTTATTGGATATATTTTCCGATGATTTACGAACTCCAGTTTTAATTAATCAACGCCATTCTTATTCAGATTTTAGTTGAAATACCTTGAAATATCGAGTTTTCATAACAATGTATGTACAATAAATATAGTTATATGAAACAGTTATAGTCATTACTCCTTAGTAATAAAATTCTTTTGATTGTTTGATTAGGTTTATTCAGACACACGCAGTGATTCCAAATATACTTTTGAAGAATTGATGCTAAAATTTCGCTGAATGAAATTTTTACAATGCTTTGGCGTACAATGTTTCGTAATACACCAGCATATCAACACTTGTCAGCCCAGTTCAAAATTAAAGATTTAGTTTGCATAAAACATTGTTATACCTATACTATTGTGCATTTCGAACTATTCATTTACCACTGTTACTCACGTGTCTAGTTTAAACTTGAGGTTAAAACTTTAAAAAGCAAGTGAGTTGTCGTTAGAAGCTTTATTATAGAAAATTAATTGTTTATTATTAGTTACCATTCGTTCTAGTCCAAGAATAATTGAAAGAAACTGATATATTTAATAAGAGTACGGTTGACGTACATCATCTTTTTAAAGTACATGTCCTTTATTTCTAGAAACAAAACTTTTCTCCGTGTTTCGATTATAATACCTAGATTTTATTTCAACAATATCCCTGTATATCGCAAGAAGTCGATACTCATCATATAGGCATTGTTTCAGAAGCATGCTCTGTTCTCATATAGTTTAAATATATATATCTTCGATTTGCAAAAGAGTTGAACAAATTGTTCCAAACTGATTTGCGGTATACCGAATTTAGAGTTCCACCCTCTATTTCGATATAGAGTATAGTTTACGTCCCGGCGTTGAAATTTTATACTGGACTGATTTTTATGTCAGATTTTAATCCTAATATTGATGGATGGCATTCACCTCGTTTGTGGTCGATGAAGACACGGCATCGTGGTTTTCGGTAACAGGTTACTGCTATTATCTTGAAAATTGGCTGGGTTTGTCTTCATCCATGAGCGATTCACAGATATAACAACCGAAGTGCCTTTAGGGGGTTCTGTATGGCAATGTGACTCAATATATAACTCTATTTTCCAGGAAATTATATCTAAATTCGTCGATTTAATATGATTTTATAATGACGCCAAGATGCAGAAGACCACGATAAACACAATGCTGTAAACTGCAGTAAATTTGCTTTTCCATTTCAATTTGAATGTAGGTAACAATTTTAAAACGTATTCCTGTGTAAATACTTCAATTTGGAATTTTTTTTTTTACAGTGTCAGGGTTCAACTTATGGGCTGCTATTTTTACAACTGGGATTGTCTGCACGATTTATACCACATTGGTGAGTAACTAATAAATAATTAGGACACACACATCCTGACATTACACACGGCAGGGGTGTACAACAGGCGGCCCGCGGGCCATAACTTGTTCGCCGAGACATTTAGTGTGCTGTTAACACTCGGATTTCCCCACCAAGCAAAAAATTCTAATCAGACAGTTTATGTTTGAAATGCGCACACATAAAAATACATAGTGTTTAATGCTCCTGTCGCTGCGTTTAATCTTTCGCCGTTTTGCCCGGTGCCTTTATTACTCAAAAGCTAAGCGATAGGCGCATTCTCTCCTTTTGCCTTTTCCGCGGCGCTCTGGTTGTCGCTAATGTATTTTTTTCAGTTAAGGATTGCTACAACTTATGTTAAAGCTGATGTTAACAAACAATGCAAAAACCCGAAAATTTCAATTGTCTCACAAAGATATTAATTAAATAAATAAAATTCCTCATTCTGTACATGGAAAACTGAATTTTTTGTGTGATAGATTTATATGGCTCGCCGACAAAAATGTTGCACATCCCTGACGTACGGTGAATGAAGTGATGGATGCACTTACAGCATCATCTCCAATTTTGCTATCTTAATTTGACCATTCAGTCAGTCATTCTCGACTGTTTCTACACACAGGGTGGATTGAAAGCCGTAATTTGGACTGATGTGTTTCAAGGAGCCGTGGTGACAGTCATTCTTATTGTTGTTATGTTCATGAGTGCGGATAGCGTAGGAGGATGGAATGAAGTTTGGCTTGCAAACTCAAGATCGAATCGATTTGATTTTTTGAAGTAAGTTATATCATGGTTCTGTTTATTTTGAATCACGAGTTTCAATGCAGATAAAAAGGAATTATGCGATATATTATCAAACTGAAATATTTCTATTAATATATTTTGGACAAAAAATGTACATATCAACCCATATCATTTCGATGAACAATTTTTTGCAGAGAAAAGCATTTTTTGTATACCTACGCGAAGTTTAGTATAGAAATAATTTTAGGGTGATAGCGATGAATTAAATAAAATACACTTTGACAACTTTAAAGGGAAGGGAGACTTGAGTTTATTGTTTCTCGATATCTAGCATTCGAAAATTAAAAGGCACCATAATATGCTTTACAAAAAATAAAAAATTTGAAATTAAAAACAGTTATTTTCATTATTGAAACGCTTAGTGTAGATTGTACCAAATAAATCCTTTTGCAACGCTGTATAAATTTCCATGCGGTTCGCGACGCTACCTGACATGCTTAAAAGAACAGTCGGAATTGCAAATATGGTAAACACGAAAATATCGTGCCAGCGATTCTGAGTCGTCGTTTTATAATTTTTTATTTAACACTCCGAACTTGCTTAAAACATATGAAATAATTCAATTTCAAATCTCATCATATAGTTCTTAGAAAATGATATCACTGTAACAATGTACGATAGCCATTGTGACTGATTGTACAGTTTAGCAATCTAGAGCCATGCAGTTAGATAAATTTTGGAACTAGCGGTAACAATGAATGAGGCGGTAAATACTTTTCTTACTTTTTTCTCTGATTTTCGTATTGATGAAGCTTCCCCGAATTACTTTGGATTTAACAAAATCAGGCCTTCAGAAAACCTCTCTCTATCTGCATTTGGAACTGAAAATAGGTCTGTGTTCGCTTTTACATCACATAATAGTATTCAATTTGATGCATATCATTTGTTCAGTTTTGATTTCGATCCACGAGTTCGTCACTCATTTTGGAGCATTATAGTTGGTTTGACAATGCTTTGGACCAGTATATTTGCAACTACACAATCACAAGTACAACGCTACTTAGCGTGTTCAACAGAACGAAATGCGAAATTGTGAGTAGCAATTAGTATATTTTTACTGGATTGATGGTAAAATCTGTCAATCGATTACTTACTTGTTATTTACCGAAATTTTTAATCGATGGTAGGATCGAAATGTGTTCATGAGTGTGTTTTGCAGGCTCACAGCTGTATAAAACAGGCTTTAAACCTTGCGACCCCTTCCATTGTATTGAAATATTCTGCGACCCCGTTGACGTTTAAAATGCTAAACAGTAAGGAATATGTATTTTTGAATTTTCATTGACACAGTTAATCCTTAACCTCTAAAACTAAAAGCAAATACACATTTATTCAGATTAACATCACTGAAATATTCGGGATCGTTATGCAAGCACGCCGCTTCTCTGATCCTACGTATTCTCTCGTAATCATGATATTTATGTTTTGCACTAGTTTTATTAATTGTGTTACAATAGATATAGTACTTTGTGTAAAATTGATGTACTCTATGCGACCACTAAAATTCCTTGCGCGCCCCTGCTGGGTCGCGACCCCCAGTTTGGAAAGCCCCAGTCTAAAAGCAATTTGAGTCACACAAATACAGATTTAGATCCTAATATTATATTTCAAAGTCGTGTAATATATGCATAAACTTAAATTTTGTCAATACGGATTCAAGTCCACATTAACAGCAATTCTCAAACAAAGTTTACAACAACTCCGACATCTTTGTGTACGACCAAACCATTAAACTCATTAGGCAACGGAATAAAAAATAAATTATCTTTATTTTCGATTATAATAAATAAGATTCTTTTCTATTGTATTTATGTTCAATTTTCAGTTCCATGGTCTTTGGTCTGATTATTGCAGTTGTCGTACTCTTATTATGCACGGGACTTGGATGGGTGATGTATGCATACTTCGAAGGATGTGACCCCCTTATTTCTGGCCAAGTTTCTGCTCCTGACCAGGTAAATTCTACAAATAGCCCGTTTTGGGTTTTTCTTTTTATCGGCGAGCTACCACTTCGACGTTGGGTCGTCGCTTGTATGGCCTTATTTCGTATTTTGTTTCCTGTTGGATATATCACGAATTTTCCGTGCGTAACCCAAATTGAATTTTTACCTCCTGATTATATTATTGAAAGTTTAATGAACAAAATATGTTCTTCCATTCTTAGTTACTTCCATTCATGATAATGAAACTATTCCAACAATATCCCGGATTAACAGGGGCATTCATGGCTGGAGTATATGCAGGATGCATGAGGTATGTCTGCCGTTCATGCATAACCAAATCAGCAAAATTCAACATTTGCTTCGAGCATCGAAAATAAATAGTTTGTTAATAATTTTATCATTACTATGCCTTTTATGCTTGGGGCGATATTGAGATAAATAACCCGCATATTTTACAAAATATTACATTTGTAGTTTTGTATGAGAACATATTATTAGAACACTCTTATGGCAGTTATCATATAGCCTATACCGTATAAATTTACATTAATAAATTCTGAGGTAGAATAAAAATTTGGAATGCGACTTTTTCCATTGAATGTGATAAAAAGATGAAAAAATAAAAATAAAAGACACAATTGTGATATAATTCCTCTTAAAAATACAGTGTGTCGAATATAAACCGCATTTTTAGTTTATGTATTTCGCCTAAATTCTTTGTGATAAAAAGGCCAAACTGTGTGTAAAACCTGATGATCGATGAATTTATGACTTCTCAGTGGCCAAAAAAAAAACAAAGATCATATTAATATTTCCTGACTCTTCGCTTTTATCATTCAGTACGGTGTCATCCGGAATAAATGCAATGGCTTGTGTCACTTCTGAAGATTTCATTCGTCCGTTTGTCAAATGGACTGATTCTACTATGACGATAGTGGCCAAACGTGAGATTTAATTAATATAGTTTGATTATTACGATAGAAACGCCAATAAATAGAAATTCACATGAAACTCAATGCACTTTCATAAACATAGCAATAGTTATTTACACAAATTTGGATCGTGTCTCGTTGATGCTTCACTGAAGTATTAACAATGTGTAAGCTGGTAATAACGAAATTTCGATATGGGGTATTAGGTTATAAAGAATAGTTTACAAATATTTCATACAATTGGATCATTATTGTTTAAGCCATTGTAGTTCCGTTACCACTGTTATCTCAAATGGTTTCAGCTTGACAGTCATCGCTAGACTCTAGGAGACTAAGTCTAGAATCTAGATATATGGGTAGCGGTAGACGCCAAGTCGGCCATACTGAAACTGATTTTTGTAGAATTGATGAATAATGCCGCCTCTATTTCCAATTAGAATCTTTCACTATTGGAAACTACAAAATCAATTTATTTTTTATGAAAATTTTATACTCAACATATCTATTTTAGTTCTTGTTTTTGCTTATGGGATCATCTGTATTGGATTTGCATGTCTCTCTACGGTGCTTGGTAATATCTTACAAACAACACTCAGTTTACTCGGTGTTATCGGTGGACCCACGCTGGGGCTTTACACACTAGGAGCTATATTTCCGATGGCAAATTCTTGGGTATGTTTGATATTTTTCCAGACTTTTATTTTAATATTTTAATTAATAAGACATTGATAAATGCGGTAGTAATTGATAGTGGATTCGACAAAGTTATGTGTTTAAATTAATATGGTGAATTTGGTCGAATGCCAGTGACTCATGCAAAATTTAAGTTTCTTCTTACTAACGAAATTTAGGTCTCCACAAATCGAGATGACCACTATCATCGTAATTTACTTAGAGGTTTTTAGATACATTTTTATTCACTAATCAAGTGAAGGAGTTAAGACAAGTTGCGACGGATCTTACTACATGGGTCCAATCACCAAAGTTTAACTATTGCATGTGTTTTTAGAGTTCATTTGCTGCATTTTTCGTTGGTCTTGCTTTAAACACGTGGATTTATGCCGGGAGTAGAGACTACCCTCTTTCACCACAACTGACTGTTCAGTTTTGGAGGCCGAAAGTAAGAACCATAGCCCAATGTCCAGTACCGGATGTTGTTACCACTGCATTGATGAATTCAACTGTTGTAACGTATACGACTCCACTTACCACCGCTGACGTCAGTGTATTCAACATTACCACAACTCCTGCGCTGCTGCCGGTGGCACCAACAGAGCGTCCACCCGTAGCGGATATGTACGCGGTATCCTATGCCTACTACACATCTATAGGAATGTGTACAACTCTGATTTTTGGTCTTGTTGTAAGTCTGTTGACATGTGAGTACTAAGTAATTAAGCTATTGTCATTTGCAATTGGTCTTCATTTTCTATGCTCATACCTTTATTATGGAACTACCGTGGTCTTGTTTTCGAACGCGATAAGGTTACGCAAGTTTCTATTTAAATCTGATATACTATATTGATATATGTATATTGTTTGAAATGCATATTAAGTTCAGTCACTGCTTGACAACCAGCTTTGTTTCCCCGCGGCTTCCCTTAAAAGTAAAATGTGTTTCCATTATTATTCGTCTGAATATTGCACGTTAAATTTTTTTTTACTGGATGGAAAAAATAAACTTGACTATGACTAATATTAAACTCGATACACTTTGAAAATATCATTTAATGCTGCCAGTATTAGGTTTGATTTTACATATACAGTATTATTAGTTCATATTATTCGGGAAATAAAGTGAAAATTTAACAATTACAGAGGGGTTCCTCGAGCCATTGCGGTTCCGCTGCATCAAAATGGTTGAAAACCACTGGACACTAATTGCAAAGAGCCAGTAAAAATGTCCCAGAAATGAAAATTTGACTTCTCTGAATTTTTCAGGTGGACATCGTAGAGCAAAAGACATCGATCCGAACCTGGTCGTACCCTTGTTCGATCATTGGCTCATCAAGCCTGCTTTGCCGAAATCTTTCCGAAGATTAATGTGGTGTGGCATTGATCGTGAAAATTGGGATGAAGATTCGGTAAGACGAGAAATGTTTGTGGAGCATATGTATTTCAATTACTAAATGTATTGCCCCATCAGCAGATTTTCATATACGGGAAACGATATTTTGGTATACAATGGCGACAGTTACTAGTTAATAAAATTTGATAGTGTTAATAGCTGAATTGGGTGGAGAAAAGTTCCCAAATAGCAATATTCTAACTTTAACACTTTCGCATATGGAAAAAGTACATGTCTGCTTATTATTATCACTATATATACATTTTTGCAAAATTTTGACACTAAGAACCTTGTATAAATACTCAACGGTTGTATTAGTAGATAAAACAAAGTCCATGCATAACGAACGATAAATTGGCAAACCTAATTCTAACACCTGACCTGGTAACTGGACGAAAGTCCGTGGTAATGTGCAATATAATAAAGCTATTTTATCGGTTTTCCACTTTCCCGGAAGAAACAATCTCTTAATAACAAAGTAACCAAGAAGAAAAACTTCTAATGTAACTATATATATCATATTTTCAAGTATCGACCACCTACACGAGAATCTCCAAAGAAAGATACAGAAAATGGCGAAGAAAATCCCGCGTTTGAAATGAAATAAAACGCTCACGAAGTTGATGAAATATAGTAACGATCATCAAATTTGCATAATAAAAAACTAAACTAACTGAAATCAATGAGTAGTGTACACTACTGGGTGCAAAGAAACTACTATCGAAATTCACCGATCGTCTCCAAGAAGCAAAAAAATTCCAACTCCAGCTGTCTTCGTCCAATCTAATCTGTGAAATCGGCTAAGGTTGAGAGATTTGACGGACATGAAGTTTTTCACCAAGTTCAGAGACTGAATAAAGTGATATTCATGACCTGAGATAGACTAGAGTGCATGTTGCTAGGTACAGCAACTTAGTTGGTGTCAAACCAATTTGGAGTCATCTTTATCATAATGCATTATTATTTTAATATATCTATATAACTATTAGTGGAAAGTTTTATACCCAATGATTTTATATTTGAAATGATGATAAGTTTTTAAATAAATATCACTGAACAGAGTTACTTTAGGATGCATCTACGTACGCGTCAGTTGCGTGGACCCGAAAAGATTGTACCATTTTTAGAACAGCGCCGCGGGTTGGAAACGGCGGATTTTTAGACGTAAACCTTATTATGGCTCATGCATAGGCATCGAGCCCTCTGCTTAATATCGCTAATAAGTTGAATACACGAGACTATGAGTTGTTGGTTCATCTTTGCGACATTGATGCTTATGGATATCTGTTAGTGCCAACCCTGAGACAATACAAGAGCACACTGTTCCGGAAACAACTAGAAGGATTGGGATTCATAAACCGATTCGCGAAACTCGGTGGCGTTGTTCAGGTCTGGATTTTAAAAGAGTCCGGAACCGAAATAACGGCCGTTTCACTGAAACGTAATATTCGATAAAAATTGACAGAGATAGTCACAAGATAATTTCTTACCTTTCGGATGCTCAATTTTTGCCTATTATTTGTTCTGTTTTCGGATTGCAGAAGCTCGCCTACAATTTAGAATCATTTCCCATTTGTCAACAAATTGGACGATTTCTTAAATTGGTTTTTGACATATTCATTCCCACGGATATTCTTCAATCGCGTCAAATTATTCCGGTCCAATGCCAAAAGTATATTTTACAGTGGCTCACTCAAATTGGTTCAATAAGAACATATACACATGCTATTGCTTAATTGACAGATCATCCCCCCAACCCCAAGATGTAAAGTAACAAACGGGGGAGATTTTTTCAATCCTAACAACTGAGACAAACATTCAAAAAGTTCAATAAACCAATATATATCGTCATTACATGACTTCACACCAGCCTAAGTTTTCAATCGAATCAACTCATACCACACAACCGCAATATATTCGACTAAAACACAGCAATAGGAAGCACTTACAATAAATGAAATGAAAGATCAATAAACAACTATCCCCTGCGCGGGCGGGTACCTCGCATTGTAATTAACAAGCTTGTCATTACATCGAGTTACTAATCAGTATGCAGTACGAGTTACGAATCGAATGCAATTACACGAATAACATCGCAGCTTGTAAGAACACATCGTTCTCTTTCCCTCGTGTCAATGCAGCTTTTAATATTGAATTTTTTCATTTAATCCAAAGCGAATATCGCGTTAACGGGAGCCAAGTGTCTCAAGCGCTGGAACTTTGGGTAGCCCTACGTTTGTAATATTCTCATTCCCACTGACCATAACCATTTTGGGCCTTCGCGGGTTACGAAATTTATCTTAGCAATACTTTTGACATTATAAATATTTTTCTACGATGCTAATATCCGCACATGCGCACGAAAATTAGATATACATGCCTTCGGCTATTTCGGGTGTCTTTATTTCTTTACTATGCATAAAAAACTCTTGTTTTTTGTCCAATTTTTAGCGGATCCTTCGCTCGTACCACGCGCATCTCTGTACAAACAACTGTTACGTCCTTGAATTATGGACTGCTTGAATCTCCTGCGACTGTTCTGAGCCATCTTGGGCGGAGTATAAGAAGGGGATAAGGATGATTGTTCCATTCCTGGCTTCTGGGATACAAAATCTTTTCTGTATAGGTGAAATGAGGCATCCACTTCATCTCATATATTTTGCGATGACAAGATCTGTACATTTATTGATACTAAATCTTTGGTGGCTATTTGATTCTCTCGAGGATACCTTTAGTCAAATGATGCATTTTGAGTTTGTCGGCAATCTGAATTTCGATTATCACCATTCAAAATCTGAAATTTCGACTCTCGCTCCAATACCAAATATCCCTGGCCTTGGAGGGACTGGGGGTGAGGGCTGATTGATAAACTCAGACAAGACGACTTTCTCATAAACATTTATATTTTCGATGTTCATTGCATCTACAGAGCAGAAATAACATTTGCAATATTAAAAACTATTATCAAAGATCATACAAGTCAAGTACATGCCTGGTCTTTCGTTTACTGCACAAACTACCAAGCCGTTACTTTGGATAATAATTTTTAAACGTTAAAAAAGTGTAAAATTCACAAGCGTTTCATCGTTAACCCATCGATTATGGAATGTGAACATTATCGAAATGATCAGAAATCAGACTAAATCTTACAAATTTTTAACGTAGCATCGTTCAAATTTAATATCACTTGATCGCAGAGAACAAGTTGAGACAATCAATTTACGAAAAGAAAAAAAAACGACATATATCCAGATCATACTTGATCAAAGTAAGTCGATAGGAAAGCACATTTAATAGCGCACAACACTAGATCAAGCATGGTTGGTCAGTTAAAAATAGCAACAACAAAAAAACTAGATCGCTTGCGTGGGATGTTGAGAAAATGAGAAAAAAGTGAAAAAAATTAATATTTTTGTTATTTAGTTACATATAGAGCAGAAATCAAGATTAACGCGAATAGAGAAAAATATGACGATAAAAGAAACAAAACGATAAAGGCAAAATAAATATACAAAAAATCATCAAAAGTTAATAAAAAAAAAATACTTGTTTTCCGAGTAATTTGGTCGCTTGATTTTCTGGGTAAAGAACATGTAATTATATAAAAATATCTGCAGCAGCAGTCAAGATTCAACATATTATATTAGGAACAAATTTGATCACATTGATAGTTTACAAGCTCAAATAAGGCGGTTTCCATAATTTATTGAGAGTACAGTACAATCTACATATACTGTGAATTTTTATTATATTCCACAGAATTTTTTCAAAAGTAATATGCTTTTCATTTTTTCGTGCAAGTCATTTTTTCGTAAAACCATAAAGGCTAGAAAAGCGCAGAAAAAATGGCTTGGGCAGTTTGAATAGGGCCTGCAGTATAGTTGAAGTAAATAAAAAAGTGAACATTGCAAATATACCAGCCATTTGAAATATATTTATATTTTTAACAAGATATCTTCGTGTGAAGCTTGGTTTACGGCACTGCCGAGTTAACCCAGATGAATGAAAAAAAAAAACACCATAAAACTCGAGTCGATTGGGTATAGTGTATAATGGGATAATGGAACACGAGGAATAGATACAGAAAACTTTCAAAATTGCTGGTTTATTAGAAACCAATAGATGAGATATCCAACAACATGGAATGCGTTTCATTCAATGTTTCAGAACTCAGACGCGTTACATGCTCGTTTAAACTAGTTTAAACCGGTTGTAGCATAACGATACTATAATAATTTTCATAAGGTGACATAATTCTGTTAGATTTGGTTGAAGGGCGTCGTAAAATTTGGGGTTCATAAGATGATTTGGGTATTTTTTCAAAGAATTTAGTAAAAACTGTATTCAAAAAATATGGTTTTTCTCAATACTTTTATTTAGAAATTCAAGAAATCGAAATTCGTCATTTTTGCGGTGCTTGATATATGATAAATTTTGCATTTGCCATATTATATATACTTATTGGTGTAAAATAGATCATTTACTCGCGAAGCGAAGAAGTCTTTCGACGATGATACCAACGTATAAAACTTTTCAGAAAAAAATTCAGTGTTTCGTTTGATTTTTCGCAGATATTTTCAGTGTTCTGTACTGCTGTATCTTAGGCAGTGATAGCTGTTCAACGTTCGTTGCTTCATGGCGGAAGCGATTTCTTGCGATTCTCAACCGGATAACCGGAGCATTTCGATGCACTTATGGCAACCAAGTGATAACTAGGTTGTATTTGCATTTTGATTTACAAAAATTCTCCATCCGGATACAATTCTTCCGGTTCGTATCCGGTCGGGCTTTGCACTGCCGCACCGTGTCTGACGTCACCCTCCGCTTGCGCTTTAGCTCGGGCTTCTCTTTCTTGTGCGGTCTGTATTTTCCGGATTCGTGCTCGGTCCACCACATCCAAAAGATTTTTAGCGTCTATGGCGAGCACCTGATTCGCGGCCATAAGACCTAGAAAGAAAAAATGTAGGATATTTTCATAAATTATATATGACGTTTCAGCACAGTCACTGTACTCTCGACTAAAATTGGTATTTCATAATTTTTGCAATTTGATAATAGTCAGTCTTTCATAACAGTCAACAGAATATTAAAATAAATCAGAAAATTCACTTACATTTTTTGTATTCCACTACTTGTGTTGTTGCAAAAAATCTTTGAACCAATTTCAATTGGTTTATAACTTGTGATAAATCTTTATTTGTCGTCTTCTGTGCCATGTCGATTTCTCTGTGGAAATCTTCAGGCAATTCAGGCAGAGCTTTTTCTAGGCTTGTACAAAGCTGTTTGAGTGCGGCACCGACCGTCTAAAGAAAGAAGATTTCTTTTATTTCAAACTTTCATGAGGTGAACACTGCTATCAATGTAACCCCTGTATCAATTAAATAAGATCCAACCCAGAAAAAATCTGTGCTCACCTTAACACTGGCAAATAATTCGTCCGGCTTCGCATTCATCGTCATGTTATTCATTCCTAGTACAGCTTTAACAACTTCCATCGTATGTTTATATACGTCGTCTTCGTCTCTGTTGAGTTGCATTGTGGGAGCTGTCTTCACTTCTTCCAATTGAATCTTGGGTAATAATTGCAAAGGATAAAATTAGTTCAAAGGCTAGCGCAGAATACTCACAGGTGTATTAACCAAAATTTGGCATTTTCGATAAACGGGCAATATTTCAGATTTGTTAGCAAAAAAAAACGACTTTGGGGAAACGCCACAAAATCGAAAGTCGGCGCTTTTAATTTTGACAATGTAACTATAGCTACAGACAAAAAAAATTTGAAAGGTCGTTAAAAACGTTCCGGAAGTGCGTGTTGGATACGGATGACTGATTTTGAATGTGCGTGCACCTTTTGAATATTAGATATGCCTATTTGAAAAGCGTCATTACAAATTCAATAATAATGACCGGATTTTGTACTAGATGCCCTTACGCATATTTCCTTTGGCACTTTTGTATCTCAACCCCCAAACATTAGTATATTTCCAATAAGTCATATTCATGTGTAATGTATGTTGACTTTTATATCACCATTTGTAGTTGATAAATTTTGAATTTTTCAAAAATTAAAAATGCACAGCCAAATTGTATCATGATAATCCTCATGAATCTTCGTATAATAAATACCTTGGTTTGTGGTGGACCCGACGGTTCGTCTTTCGGCCTTGATCCTTTCCTAGGGGGCTTGGATGGGGCGACGCTCGGTGGTGGTGGGGCCATTTCTGTGAAATAATTTTTATTTATTATATTACAGGTAAAAAGTTATATATTATTACGTACATAATGGGGTTTTGGTTCACAACTTTTATTTTCGAACATAATTTGAGTGCTCATTTGAAGGTGAGTATACTTTTTATTATTTAAATTTTGGTTATAGCAAATTTGCAGAATGTGATTGGTTAATTTACGGGCTTATTAACACAATTGTGGACACGGCCCGTGCCATCTGATCCGAAGTGCAATCAATTAAGTAAGGATATAAATTAAAAGTTGAGAAATATTCAGGTCCCGCCCAAAACAATAGTTTCTTACACATTTATAATTCCTTATATAAGACCGTGTTCAATGGGAAAGATGTACAACGTGTGTTTAAAATGTAAATTAATATTACGTTAGTTGGAGCTACAACACGATTTGAAATTTGATAAATTTCTTTAAACTCAGATTATAATTCCGCAATGCTCACCTGTTAACGATGTGTTGCTGCCTCTTCCTCGACTTAAGGCAGAGTCTTCGCCGTTTGCTGACGCATTTTCAGGATTCTGTAACGACGTAAACTTTTACGTGAAAACGTCAATCGACAAAAAGGCACAGATACAAAATTTTACAATATAAAATCATGCAAAATATTAAATACATGTATAAAAAACGTTTGGTTAGTATGCAAAAATATCAAAAAATAAAAATAACAAAAAAGCATACCGACCAGTTTGCAAACAAAATACCGTATTTTCAAGCCAGCGTTATTTTCCACCAAGGAGGAGACGTCGAGTAGAGTTAATAATGCCATAATCATGCAGTAGTAGTGGGTGGTAGTAGGTAGTTTGCACATGCATATGAAGTAAGCAGAACAAAAAAGAAACAAAACATAAAATTTAAAATAAACAAAACTGAAATTTTAATTAAAAAAAATAATAAAATTGGAGAAAATTTTCTCGCATTTCGCAGTATTCAACATAACGAGTTTTGTTAACAAATATGCTCGGAAAGTATCATAAATATATTCCCTCAGGTCAAATTTTCATAGAGGCTATTATTTAATGATGTTTATACCAACACAATTAAAGTAAAATTGACGTTAATTTATTACTTTTTTTGAGACACCCTGTGATCATTTTTCTTGTTGTCAAACCTAATATGTATTTGCTTCTTTTGAAAACATTAATTCCTCTTATGGTAAAACTTAAAATACAGGAGGTGACGTCACCATAATGATTAATTGCTCGTTGACGAGTATCATCATTCGTTTTATAATTTGAATATATAAGCGTGTGAGACCATATTAAAAGTTATGTTTCAAACTATTTGTGCACGAGTATGGCCATGTATATTATGAACAAAAAAATGCAATGTTATAAATTAAAATATTATAATAAAATGAACAATAAAAACATGCTTTTTACCAGCATTTGTTCTTCCTGTTGAAGCCATTTTGCATTTTCTCTGGCTTGTCTTTGTTGTTGATCTAATCTTTGTTGCAACATGGCGTCATCCCTTTCTTTCATACGTAATTTTTCTTGGGCCTCGTGTTTCGTCAGTTCCTATAGTGACGTAACAAAACAAAAAGAGTCGCCATGAAATGAAATAATATTCCATACACGCTACAAACCAGATTTCCCTTAAAAATCAACGGTCTTACCTCTGTTGTCATGATTTTCTGTTTCGGCGGAACCGCTGGCATTCCCCTGGGGTAACCGGGAACAGCGCCGTTGGAGGATCCGTGAGCATTGATACTAGATCGAGGGCTTCCTTGTAGTCCACCATGACTGAATCCAGGTCGATTTGGCTGTAAAGAAAAAAAAATATGGTTAGACCATTGGAATTTAACAGCAACTTATAGCAAACAGACACAGAACAGAGCCTTGACATTATCCAAAGTAAAAAGGTTTTGTTATGTTATATCTCATGATATTGATATCTCCTTCATTGAAGTATATTTGAAAAAAATTCAGACTAAACAATTTCAGTACAATTTTATTTTATACCTTTCCCTTTAGGTGAGGTCTATGTCGAGTCAATTTCGTAACTTTCCCAGCGCTGTTTCGCCTTGGAGTTCGTATTACAGTAGCGTAATGTGCTGTACTATTGCTAACATAGCTAACGGGTCCGGAGGAATAATCAAATGGCGCAGTTGTCGTAACTGAACCGGAATTTTTTCTGGGTAAAGGTAGAGTCTCATAAGCAGGTGTTATGGTTCTAACTTCATCGTCATCGGACGTGAAAGAAATCCGTTTTCTGCTCGATCTTCGTCGTCGTAATGTACCACTTGCTCCATGAGCGTGATTCGATGCGTTCGAAGAAGTACGCAAGGATAAAGATACATGTGCAAGCATGTTTAGTGTTTCATTTAGCTTTTCCAGTTCGTCCATATCAATTTTGTTATTGTTATTTTGGCACAATGTACTGGAAGGCATCACACCCACTGACATTTTCATTTTTTTGTGAAATTCCCTTTTTTACTATTGTAATAATATTTAGGCTAAGAGAAAAATGGATTTTTTGTTTATTACATGCGTACATGGTGTGTAGCATTAATATATTTATTGTTTGAATCCAGTTTGAAACTACTCCTAAATGCCTTTTCAAATTTAATTTATATATAGTACAACGAGATCTGTTTTCCTAGGTTTCTGCACTCGCCTACTACTTCCAAAAAAAAAAAATCTTTTTGTCGTTTCACTTGATCTCATTTGTACATTGATTTACGTATTTAATGTATATTGGTTAACGCAATTCCCATGGTAAAATTTTTCTGAAAACTTTGCTTTGCGCTATATCTTGCTAGTTAATTATTCCAATAACAGTGATGACTTGTTGGCACTGATGGATTTGGCTGCTTCTTGTATCACTTGAGCTTCAAATCATTTATACATATGTGCAAAAAATCCGCTATACGCATACTACAGTAGCAAGGTTTACTCAACTCGAAAATATCTATAATAGCTGACCTGCGACAAGGGTAATACTAGAGGATAGTTAAATGGTCGAGGGCACGTATGACGCAATCAAAAGCTCTTACGTGCATCGCAAATGGCAATTTCAATAGATTTGGAGTTTACATTTATACCAGCAGTGTATAGAAAACGCGCAATAGAATTAAAAACATTGAAGCACGCGCAGTCGATACTTGAACGAGCAGGTGGTCAAATGGAATCTGGGGATGGTCATTACGATCATAATAGCCCTTCACAGTTTAGGTCAGGACAATCACGACAATTACATAAACACCGCTACTATAGTACGACGAACAAACTGATAACAAGTTTCCAAAATGAAATGAACGTTTCATTTTACTTCAAAAATTCCATATACTGGTAGTCGAAACACCGATGACAGCAATTACCATTGCCAAAGATAATATGAATTTCATACATAACGGTTATAGATAGTACTTAAATGCTAGCTTACAATTTTCAGAAAAATTTAAATTCACTTATTTTGCAACAGAAATACGATATATGCCAAATTTTGTTTCACAAAATATGACACAATTCACGATTGCAATAAAAATTGGCAAAATTTCCAGAAATTTTCAATCGTTTAATTTTTAAATTATTTCTCTCTCGAATAGAGGTACCACCGGTAATTAAAATTTGGTATAAGACTCTGCATTCTGTGCCTGGCTCTCAGTAGTCAGTATACTCTCTACCACTCGACTAACTAAAACCTAACTGAGTTCACAGACTAAAATGTTACATATACTGTATTTCGAATTGAAAACTATCTATTCACGATGCGTGATTTCACAATTTTGATATCATATACTTCGACAAGGCAGGTGAAAAAACACGCTTGCCAGAAAGCCTACGTCACCAGCCCACGCCATAACTATTCCTAGTATATCGAACTCGCATAACGTAAAAATCAGTTAAGTTTTTTCAATTTACTTTCACGTTCCAATGAAAATTGATCCATAGATGTCGCAAATGACAACATGATTTATTGCTTATAAGTAAAAGTGGTGAAAGGTCGCCAATGTGCGAAAATAATTTTCAGTGGAAAAATTGCTAAAAAATAAAATGGTACCGGTATCCCGTGACTGACAGATGGGTACATCTAAAAATATCGAAAACTTTCATAATTATTGAATTTAACGAAGTTCTGTAGTAAATACATAAAATTTAATAGCACTTTCCATGATTTTTTTGTTTTTATTCCGGGGTAACTGACCTATAAAATGAAGGCTACTAAGTCTTGCAACCTGATAATGCGATTAAATACACAATTCCTATTTTCAAGAAAGTTGCACATGCTAGAAAACCTACTAAAAAATCACAGGGGCTATCGAAATTCGCAGCATCGCAGCAAAAAAAACGATATTTGATAATCCATAGTTTCAAATGAAAATGTATTCCCAGAAAATAACGTTACATTATCAAATGCCAAATTTTCGAAAACGAATATTTTAAAATAGAAAAGCAGTGCTGGCCAACGGCAACAGGTGAAACTTTCGACAGCCTAGCCATTAATCATTATTTTCTGCAACAACAATAAATTATAGCCCTCGCGACGATCAATCGTACATATAATAAAAAGAAAGAAATCAGTGGGCAGTTGATATTCATGTACATACGTCAATCAAAATTCAAGTTCATTCAATAAAATTCTAACTTTTAATAGAATTTCATATATGTCAAATTTTGTAGGGTAAGCAACTAACACGAAAACGAGTCAAAATTAGTATATCGCTATTCGTTAGACAAAATAATTAACTTTAAATTATTCTTAAAGTCTAACAACTGAACCAATCCTATTTGTAAATAATATATTTCTCGCAAATACGAAATTCCGGTTACTAGCTACTTCTTTACTATGGTATATTTCCTAATCTGAGATATATTAATTTCTCTCGCCTATCCTTGACTTCACTTGTACAGCAGTCCACTGCAAGGTGATTCGACTTATATACGCACCACCTATTTCCGCAATCAAAGGCGAGACTGGAATATTGACCCTGTTGTCGCTAGAACGAGTTGTTACTCTTGACATTGTGACATTTGAAACGTTAATTAACTATACGGGTTAAACACTGGTATTTTCATCGTGCTGGCACCATTGATATTTAAAATGTCAAGAGTTAATCAACTTGCTAGTCTACAACTCAAGTCTTTACATAAATAACAAAAAATATTCCACATCGGTTGTCAGTGATAGCACTTTCTCCCATTGACTTTTTGTTTTAAAATTATCAGCCTTGCATAAATACCCAAAAAGATTCCACATTGGTTGTCAGAAATAGCACTTTCTTCTTGGACTTTTTGTTTTAAAATTATCAGTTGCGAGAAATGGTTTGCGCGATTTTAACGAAAATTTGCTAGGACCACTACAATGCCAAGATATAATGAAATATATAGAATTATGGTGGCACACTACACACCAGTAAAAGCCAAATCAACGTAAAAATGAAAGCCAATCCGAAAAACAGCTATGATTAAATCTGGCAAACAACAAAGCCAGTAACAGGTACATATTTTTATGACCCAGCAGTGTATGCCTTCCATCCAAAACGTCACCATAAATTTATTAAATAAGTCTAGCGCTAGCCACATACAAGATAATTAGCCCTTTACTACATTCGGTGACAACTTTCCGGGATGACAAATTTCAAAATGTTCATTGTATGACGTCACTATGGCCTGAACAGGAAAACGCATCAGAAATTAGATTCACACTGGAATTTGAAATATTTTTCCGCCGTTTTATATTTTCCATAAAAGGGTTTCTTGTTTGTAACTATGTCTGGCTATGAACTATTATGTTAAATCCCCATACATTGTCCCCTCAAATTTAATTGTAATTACGCAGAAAGAAAAATAATTTGTTTTTTCTGAAGAGTGTAAGGAAATACATTCATGTACAGTATATAACACCTTATAAAGATTTGAAATAAACGTAAATAAAAAGTGCTTAATTCAAATTGAATAGCAGCAGGACGTGCGATTTGAAATGTCGCAAGTTAAATCGGAAATGACGTTTTATATTGAAATTTCAAACGGATTTTCGCAATTTTGCTCTTTGAACAGACGTACGTTACATGAAACATTGGATTGGAGTCGCTGGGTTCCAAGGTAATGGCACATAATCGCTTCCTGGCGACAGGTTTAACTCGGGTTGTTTATTTTGAAGACTCGTGAGACTGAGACTACGCAGTAAAATCTTATTCATATTTTATCAATTGCTAAGCAACGACCATATTAATTGCCGTACAAATCATGGTTAAAATTACTCAATAAAATTGGATAGTAGCAAACGCTCTCACTTTTTATCCAAAAGTCGTACCGTAAAAAATATTCATGGTACAATTAGGTTTCTTTTTATCTATTTTAGGCAAACTCATTTAACTTATTCAACTATCCTACGACTGTTTTATTCTGAAAAACCTTTTTGTTTTATAACATGCGATCTCAAAAACGAACACCACTAAGTATGTGACTATCACATAATGCGAAAAATCTGAACCTATACTTAATCTGATACTATGATAAATAATGTTGTTCCTCTCCGGTTCCGACTTTTGCAATATTACATGTCATAACTGACATAATATCCGCATGACCTAACGTAATCAGTTGTCAAATTCCCTCGGTACAATAGTTCATTTCATTTCAATTTTTCTCCAACTTTCGAAATACTTTCTAAAAATAACTGCGTTCTATTTTGTACAGGAAATGATAAGCCAACTGACTATAAAAATTGAAATTAGACTCGATACATAATGGCAAACTATTTCACAATATATAACAGGACTTGATTACTAATATTATTCCCTTGCTTTCACTTTTGAGTCATTTAATTTTTACACAAAACGACTAACATCTACAGATACATTCCCCTAATAGTTTACCAGCATTATTCTCTGAGAAGCAGTAACTGCAATTATGTTCAGCTAACTAGTATAGTTTGAATATCCTAACCTAATGCAACCATGATATGTACTACAAAACATACGTGGCCAAATATGGTAAAAGTGTGAAAAAGTAATACCAAGCCTAATAGAAATGATGCAATATCACACTACGGTGACAAAACGGTGACAGGGACAGACGGAAGTAAGATCCTACCAAGCCTGTTTCATATATAACCTTCAATTTGACAGAGCATATTATCTATGGACCACACATGACTTTCATTTTAAGGAAATTGATGTTTATCACACGGTGCAAAAATCGAGCAATGACTTTCCTAAGTTATAGTTTCTCTACTAAACCAGTATAAAGTAACGAATGACGGGATACAAAAAACTACCTGTGGTGTCAGTCCAAAAACAGTCAGAAACTTAGTGACAGTAAAATGCTTATTCCGTCCGTACCTTACAGACTCGTTTAAACCTCATTAATGAGGAGTTTAGACACGTATTTGTTAATTTTGTGCGACAAAAATTACAGGCCTTGCATATAGGTGTAAATTATTATTCTTTGAAACTACGATGATTCCGAAACTGAGCTTTATGCAGTTCATACGGTAAAGTCCTAACACCTTTATAAGTTTTTCCAGTTTTATTTTGTTAACGAGATTAATAAAGGTGATCTACGTGATCGCGTAAATGTCGATCTAGTATTCCCACATTAATGGCTATAGGTAGCGGGCAACAAAATAAATCATCAAGTAGGACCGGACAATTAACTGACGCCAAAAACGTCACAAAATGGGAGAACGTGCCACATCGGAAGCATTATAACCGGCAATGCGCCCTCCAGCCCTTCATATTAGTTTCTAATAATGAAAATCATATTTCGAAAGTGTTTGAAAATAAAATTGTAATAGTAATTGAACTTCGTGAGCAATAAATCGGCCTGATTTTTGATATGAACTAAAATAATTTATAACACGCAACGTTAGCGCCGTCAAGTGTTCAAATAAGGAATTATTCGATAAGCAATTTCGCAAAACTTTGATTTATTTTGTAATCGAACGTGCAACTAACGTTTTTGAATACGCGATCAAACCCGAATTACAGCGAAATCATAGTGATATTATAGCATTATTTCTATTTGTGTTACCATGGTTACTGTTATGCAAAACAAGCTAGGTAAATAACTAAAAAGTGTCATTTGCATATTACACAAGAAATACAAGTTCTGAGAATTTGGCGTGAACCTGGCAAATGTCGAAATTCTTTTAACGAAAAAGGAAAATTGAAATAAAAACAAAACGTCTGGTTTATGTCAAGATGATTGATGTCGTCTGCTCAACACCATGACCTTTGTGACGTCCCTATAGAACACTGTCAAGTACAATTGCAGAAATTTTTTAATTTCGTTTGCCAAATTACAGAAATATGTGAAACATATTTTTTATTATTATTATTAAATCATTCTTACTTTTGGTGGAGGTTCGTCGTGAGATGTCTGTCCGTCGGTCTCAAATCTGATTCTGTCGGCTTGTTCGCGTTGTTGTCTGTCCAATATGACACTGAAAAAAGAAATTCGAAACTTGATTATTAGGGCTTAAAAAGATGCTGAAGAACAATGAAATAAACAATCAGTAGACTCGCACGTAAATTTTACTAATTAATTTTGAAATCGAGAAATCTGCAAGATATCGCAAAATGGCGAAACCCAATAAATATATTTTTATTAACCATTTACTGTGTACTAAATATTATACAGTCTCCCCCACACTGACCCAGCCTGGAAAGAATAAAAATCGAGAACATTTATTCGGAGTATCTCCAGAAAGATATTATGAAAGCTAGCTCCGTTTTAAATTTATCCAACAATGCAAAATATCGGTAAAGGTCAGTTGCATTGGAATCTTGAATGTCATTTGATCAATTTCCTAAAATTCCCTAAATCAATACTAAATAGGGTTTATTTTGTCCAAAAATATTTTACCTAAATACAGTAAGGCCTACCTACCGTAGCACGAAAATTACAAAAATAAAACTATCAAATTTGTTAACCTAAAATGCATTATTAGTTAGCGTCACTATCTCAAAATTCCGGATTTTGAACCGGGTTTCGTTTTTGGACTCTGTACCTAAATTGGATAGGATTTAGTTTATTACCCGGGAGGTATAAAAACGTCGTCTGCAAAGTCAGCTCCCTCTGACAAATGTTCAGGATTAGTGTATCCATTCACGTTTGAAGGCAAAATTTTGGGTGAATCGCTTTGATCGTTCAATTGTTTGTTTGATAAAAGCGGTTTATCTTCAAAATTAGGTAGGCTCCCGTTAGGCGTTCTACTCGCTTTGTAAAGCTTTGGACTGCTCCGAAAAGCCCTTTTGGCCATTTTTACCAAATTCGAACCCATTTCGTCGTTTTCACCGTCGACGCTGTTATTGTCATAAAATTCTCCGCTTATATTGTCATCAAAATCCCGCTCGTTTTGGTATAAATCTCCGTCCTGACTTTCCTCTCTTGATTGTAACCTGAGCAGTTGAGTGTTAGCGAGGTTCTGGGATGTCAATGACCGACTGGATTTTCTTTTTCCGCTTGAGAGTGACTCGTCATCAGTTTGACTGTTGGTGGAAATATCGCTTTCTTTCAATGAAAAATTTGATAGACTTGATACAACTGTAAAATCGGGAGATTTTTCTTCGTTCAAAAAACTATCAACGCTCGCTCCACGTTTTACCACTCTAGGAGAATCGTTGGCGAGACAACTTTGATTGTCTGTTTCGTATAAAGGCGAGTTGACGAACGTAAATGAACTTTGGCTAACAGATCTTTTTGCTTTTTTACCTTTTCTCTTAAAAATTTTATTGTAATTTGCGACTAAAACGTTTTGCTTTTTCGAATCAGAATCTTTACTCGAATCTTGCTTTTTTCTGCCCTTTTTCACTTTCTGAGAAGAATTCTCGCTATGAAGAGAAGAGATCGACTTGTTGCTGGCCGCAACCAAACAGTCGGCTGATTGAGTCTGTTGTAATAGCAGCATTTTTCCTCTTCCGGGCAGCGCATTTGTGTTATTTGCGTACGATTCATTTGAATAGGTCAAGTCGTGCTGTAAATCGTGCCATGTTGGCTCATTTTTAGCAACGTATTGTGGAATGCCAGCACGATTGTCTATATCTGCATTGAAGTTAGTTCTACCTGAAGATCGATTACCAAGGGTGATGTCATCCTTCGGGTCAGATGAGTGCAATACATCTCCTGCAAAAGCGTATTTTGTAGGGTTTTCTACTGAATTTGCTTTAGAGGGTCTATTTTCATATTCCTCACCCCATGTTGTGTAATGAACATTATCACCCGAGTGATTATCAGAAAATAGTGCAGTGTTCTGGAGAGCTGACATCATACTTTCGACATCCGAGAAACGAGAAGTTCTGTTTAAAGTTCCGACTGGACTTTCTTGTTTTGATTCTTCAGGATGGTTGTCTGTCATTTCTTTTATCAAATCGTCCAAATCCTTTTCCGAGGGACCTTTTTGTCTGTTGATATCATTGTTAGACGACGTCACACTATCACGTGACTTTCTGGGTAATGGCGGAGCTTGGAGTTGGTCTGTAGATCTCGATTTTTTCTTTACTACCGCGTAAACAGGCGATCCCTGTAAAATGGCCTGTTCGGGTATATTTTCACCACACAAAGACGCCCGAATGACGTCATCATTGACGTAATCTGACTTTCTCCATTCGCTTTCTAGTCGGTCATGAGCATTCAAAGATGTTTTTGCCCCTGATTTCTCGGCATCGACATTGTCATATTTTTCTATTTCATTTCCAGCAGGTGGAGCTACTGAGAGAGGAGAACGTGACGCGGCATCGCTTCTCAAAAAGCGCGGGAAAGTTGCCGTGGCATAATCGGAATGTGACGGCGACAATTTGGATGGAATGTGCATTGTTTGATTGGAACTTACACATTCTGATGATTGAAATTTTCGACCTTTCGTCGTGGAACATTCGGAATGACTTAGATTATTGTTATTACAAGAAATAGGAACTTGTGGTTGGAACGACGGAACATTTTGTTCAATAGGTCGGCAATGGAACTTGGACGCCGTGATACGACCATTCTCAGGGCTATGACGGTTTATATCGTTACCCAAGGCTAAAATAGTTCGAGAAAGTTTTAATAAAGCAGAATTCGATGTTTTGTGCTGCAATTGGATCGCTTTGACAAGTACGTCCACTTTGGTTTCAACTGTATCTAGTCTGGTTCTTGCGTCGTGCAAAGACAACAGTAAAGTTTTAAGCATTGCCCCACTGACCAACACCATATCGCCTGTGGAAGCATCGTTGGGATTGGCTTGTTTGAAAGCACCTTCGGAATTTTTCTGGCGACTCAACTCAGCGTTTTCGTTCATTCGAATTGTCGATTTACCTTCCGGGAATGGATCAGGAGAATTCATTTGCCCTTCCCCCGTGTTAAACATTCCCATTGACAAAGATATCGTGTTCGGACGTTTTGGGTGCAACTTCGGACTGTTTTCCATTTCACTGACGCGTCCGCTGTCCTGGTTATCCACCTCACTCCCGCTTTCGCTGTATCCGCTGGTAGTCGGAGACGGAGGTGTATATTTCACTTTACTAGGAAGAGGAGCTGAATATTCGATAATATTATTATTGTTGATTTTGTGACAATGTGCATTTATGACGTCATCCATAGTCTTTTTTACCGTCCTTTGATAGACGACGTATGTTTGCGTTGTTCAATGTGGATGGGTTAGATAGGTCAAAATTATGTTTTTTTAAATCCAATACAGTGCGGAATAGTACAATATGTTACCATTACGCAAACAAGGAAATGATTCTAGATGAAGAAAACGATGATTTAATTTTCATTAATTTTATCGCCTTTTATAATTGTCTCTAGTCCACGGATGAGTTTATAAAAATGTAGATATTTTTATTTGGTGCTGCACATCTTGTGTATCTACCCTAAACTAAAAACCACGGTTGATACCATATACCCATCCCCACATTCTACTGGATATTCAAAACATAGGAGAAAAGTAATTATTGTAAAGCTGAAAGCTTTACTTCGTTCGTCAAAGAATATCAGATATGTAGGTATATTGGCATGTGGTTTACTGGTTTGTGCCGGGCTTCGTAAAAACAACCGCGGATGATCCTTTCTATTCACACCAAAACACGATAAAACGTGTCACCTGCAAATTGCAAATCCACAAAACGACCACGAAAACCACAAAATCTGCCGTAGATATTTGACTAATGGGTGAAAATAAGGTTTGGAAATATCGTGGCACGCGAAAAAAGTATCAATCACAGAATATTGGGTCGATACTTTTTTTCTGTAAACGTTTGACCTGATTTTATTCTTGGAAAGCTACTTGAGGTGCACATATTGCTTGTTGGAACCATGTTCAAATTCAATTTTTAACAAAATTGGTCAAAACGAACCGCCCCTGCATAATAATACACCGCAACATCAAGGTCGGTTAAACAATTCGTGTTTGATAACTTTGTGCTAATAATTCAAAAAAGCGATGGCATAAATGACAAATTGAATATAAACGTACCTAAAAATGGGGATCACGAACAACAACATGCGCTTTGAACTACAAACCACGAACTACAAATCTTGATGTTTACCAACATTTTTTATTACACGCATAAAGACTAACCAGAAGAAAACATCAAAGCCTGAGGTAAATTCAAAACTAAATTAGTCAATTCGAAATTATTTGAACGAGTTTTCGGCCCTTCGCGATAAGCTACATACATACAAAAAAAAATCTACAACCCCAAACACATCAAATTATTTTCAAACAAAATCGAAAGATTTTAAAAATCCATTCTTGCTTTGGTACTAAATGATAGAATTTGACAATCCCACTCCTTAACATGGTAAATTATGACTAGTTTCATGCATGGTCCGAAAATAAATCACAAAAAATTACCGTTAACCTTGATGAATTTTTGTCAAGTTATACATCATAAACCCTAAACGTCTGATTAATGTTTACTGTACACGAGAAAATAGACAGATTGTATCTTAGCCAAGGCTTTATTTTGTTTATTGTTGAGACGAAGCGTAAATGTCAATGAACACGTAAATATACATTAGCTATTATGAAAAAACATAAATCAAGGAGAAATTTGCATTTATGACAGAATCTAGAGTACAAGGTAATTTATAACAAAATTCTGCAATTCTCAGAAAACGAATAACCTAAGAGGAAGTTTTATTTAAACTGAATTCAAATTCTCGTATCAAACAAAAATACGTAATCAGGAAAAAACCTCACTGGTACGAATTCTGACTATGGTGCTAATGCCAACGTAGGCTCATAAATTCCTGCATCATAGTAAATAAAGACGTATCACCTGTTCCGCAGCACAAGATAATGAAAGCATTGTGCAGTATAGCAGTGATATTTTACAGGCTGCAAAGTAAAAATCGAATGAATGATGCGAATCTTTGAAATTTAAACTTTCTAATTGTAAATGCTTGGAAATCATTTTTTTTTTAAATGTTTAGAGAAAAAAATCACAATTTCTTTAACTC